GCCAGAAATCCTTGGCCTACCTGGATTTGTAGGATCATTCCTCATCTAGAGACCCTAACTCCGTTACATCACAGAGACCCTGTTCCCAAATAAGGGCACATTCACGGGTGCTGTGCTTTTGGTCTTGGACATATCTTTTCGGGGTCTTCTGTTCAGTTCACTATGGTGGATTACGATGCTGGAGTATGAATGAAAAACATATGCCGTCAAAAACTACATTATTAATTTTTACCGTTAATTTTAATGATCACATTGGAAAGTGCAACCAGATGTGCGTAGGGACATTTTATCAGGCAGTTGGAAATATTGGAGTTGGAGTCAGGGCAAAGCTATAGAGAGGCTCTGTCTGGAAGCCATGGAAACAAAGGAAAAGAGAATTAGAAGTTTCCTTCTAGATATGAGCTTCTGTAATTTCAAGCTTAAAGAGGAGGGGGAAAGAGGGGGCAGGTTAGTAGGAGAGGCCAAGAGATTCTGATGATTCTCCAAGGTCGGTGTCTTATACCTCAAGTTCTTGCTCTAAGTTGACTCTTAGGCAGTCTTTCTCCTTAAACAGCCTCAGAGTACCCTGAGACTAAGCTCCAGGATGCCTGGAGTTCCAAACGCATTGTTCTAGGAGTGTTTCTTAAAACCTAGAGCGGTCTTCAGTTGCCGGCCCCAGGTGGTAGCTTTTGGGTAACAGTAGAGCAGATTCCTTCATTTGCCTTCGTTCCGCAGGTTTCCTGCTTCCCTCGACCTCAAGCCTGGAGGTGAATTACCTTTGTTGATGAAAAAAATCAGTCGATTTAAGTAAGAAAGAGATGGAAAATTTTATTCGCGCCAAATTGAGGGTTATAACCTGGGAAGAGCCTCTCAGAAAGTTCCGAGAACTGTTCTGCCCATTAGAGCTCAAAACACAGTTACATTTTTTGAGACAGAGGGCTGTACATTACAATGACATATTGTTGACAGTTTATACAATCCAGCGAGTAGGGAGTGATGGGTCATCGTGGGCCCTTGTAAGATTAAGAAGGAATATTATCTTTGAAGGAGTTGTCCTGTTGATGCTAAGAGAAGGTTGCTCTTTATGGTTGAGCAGGAATTTCTGCCCTTGGGGATGTTTGGTCAGTGCATAATGCAGATACACAAAGCACAGGTCGAGGAGGGGGTGGGGAGGAAGCCAAAGGGCAAAGAAAATTTTTTTATGTTTACATTTTTCTTGTCCTTCCATAAAATATGAATTTATTTCACACCTTTGGTGAAAATGAGCTTGCAGTGAAGAGCAGACAAAGAAAAGCCACAGTCCGAGTGGTCATCTAGAAGACGTTCCCACCAAAGTCTTTATCTCACGTTCTTCCTTCCTTTTTCCCTCTCTTCTTCCCTTTCTTCTTCCCATCCTTCTAGCCTTTGTTGGGTACCTACTATTAATGATGCTACCTCGGTGGGAATAAAAATATGAATAAGATACAGTGTGTGTCCCTAAGAAATTCACAGCCTTGTGAGGGGATCCAATCCAAAAATACACAATTCTTATGCAGTTAGGTAATTCTCATGATGGAGATAATAATAGTAACAATAATCACCATTTACCAGCATCTCTCTTCTGTATCAGGCATTGTAGGAAACAGGCATTATCTCCTATAATCCTTACAAAACTCCCATGTTACAGGTGACGAAACTGAGAATCTGCAAGATGAAGTTGTCCAGTTAATAAGTATTAGTAGTGGGGCCTGAAACCCTGTGTGTTGGATTCCAAAGTTCATCCTTTAATTCGTATGATCAGGAGAACCAAGGGAGGAGCCCCATTCATTTGGACAGACGGGAGGCTTGTCATTGGTCTGTGGGACTTAAAAATAGGGTCTCACCTTTTATAAATTACAGAGAGTCCGACGTGTCACCAGGGCACAGGACCAGAGCACAGAGGCTCTTATCTTCTCCGCTTTCCAGCCCTCACCTTTGTCCTCATCACCCCTGTTGCTCTGAAATGCTTTCATGTGGGTGGACAGACTTATTTGCCTTTGGGCTCTCTTTGATTTTTTATTGACTCTTGTCAACATTCGTTTGCTCTTTTAAGGACTGTTTGAGGCCGGCAGCCCATTTAGACCTCTGGACTCGGAGAGTCCTCCACACGCACAAACACATCTCGAACTCGTGAAAAGCAGCCGCTTCTGGGATGGGGACTGCTCTCAAAAAATAGGACTAGTGACCCAAGGCAACACGCAGGGCTGAGCAGGGCATTGATTGATTGCTTAAAATGGACTGCCTGTCATGGCTGTCTCTTGCCTTGGCATTCGTCACATGGCAGAAGGCCACGATTGATTCTCTGTTGTAACTGAATCTTACAGATGTAAGGGGATTGTAATTAACACACTGACATTGCTGTCATCAGAAAATCTCCAGCCGCAGATTCAGCACTGCTTGGTGATAAATACTTCCTTGCCTGCAGCACTGCTGTCTCTCAGATCCAGAGCTCTCGCACCAGCCAGTGTGCAGAATAAATGAGTGCATCGTAGAGGGACCTCTGAAAGTGGGTAGGGTCTGAGAGCTGCTGGCCATTAGAATGCCATGCGACGTGGCTTGCAGGACCCTTCGCTCCGGGAACATCACTAGGAGGAGAGGGATGAACATCTCTTCAGCCACTACTCCATCGAAGACTGATCACAGATGCTCCTGGAAGTAAGATGCGTGGATGCTTCTCTGCTCTCGGGGTGGTCCCAGGGGAGCACATTCAAGACTCTGTGGGATCCAAGGAGAGTAATTTTATCGCAACAGGGGAAGGTGGGACTTCATGGAGAAAGCAGTGTTTGGGACAGGTGTTGAAGGCTTCTTGAAGGCCAAACTGAGGGAAATAGGTATTCTTGGTGATGGTTACAATGTGTTAAACCAGGAGGGTGAGAAGGTAAGACACCCATTCAGAAAGCATCCTGCAACTCAGTTTAGCTGGTGCTTGAGTTCGTTCAGGTGAGCAGTTGGAAAGGAGGAGACAAAAAGTAGGCTCGCACTGTGCTCTAGACCCAATGTTTGTGTCACCCCCCACCCCAAACCAATTCATATATTGAAATCTTAACCCCTGATGTGATGGCATTAGGAGTGGGCTCTCTGGGAGATGATTAGGGCTTGAGGGTGGAGCCCTCATGGATGGCATTAGTGCCCTTACAGAAGAGACCTCGGAGAGCTCCTTCACCTCTTCTGCTGTGAGGACACAGTGAGAAGATGGTCATCTTGGAACTGGGCAACTAGCTCTCACCAGACAGCGAATCTGCTGGCACCTTAATCTTGGACTTCGCAGTCTCCAGATTGTGAGAAACAAACATCTGTGTCTACAAGCCACCCAATCTGTGGTGTTGTGTTAAAGCAGCCCGAAATGACCAAGACACACAGCCATACTCTTACTCGTGTCTTCCGATGACACTGGTCCCCTCAGGGATTATGTTGGATGGATCTTTATTATTTCTGAGCAGTTGTCCCTGGGGCATCCCTGCCTCGGGGACTTTTAACTGTCTCTCTTCGCACTGTTTCTGAAACAGCTTTCAGGTTCAAGGGCTGTCAGTTTCCAGAAAAGAAAGACTGGATACAGATTTTCCTTTTATGCCCGAAAACACCATGGACCCAGCAGACCCAGACTGTAGATTAGGGTCCACTGGTGGGTATTGAAGCCCCTTGCCACCTGCCCCTCCACCCCCAGTTCTTAGTGTCTGGAAACACTCCTGGATGGGGGGTTGGGGTAAGAAGGAGGTGGGTGGGGAGAAGACAGGTACAGACCCTGAGTTTCCAGCGAGAATCTCTTGTCCAGCCCTGGCCTCACCCTCAGGACCAGAGTACGTTGCTCTCTTAGTAATGAAGCCAGTTCAAGTCAGAACTGTCCAGTCGTGCACAAGCCAGAGACCTGGAAAGGGCCAAAGAATCGGGTGTAGATTAAGCAATTAAATGTAGCAACATGAGCTCCTGTGAAGGGGAAAGACCTGAGAGCACAAAGGATGTGTGACCCAGCGCCTTAACAAAAGAAACCTTACTGACCTTTCCCCGGGGAGACAATTTAGGCCCAAATCAAAGGAGTTGGTTTTGTTTTATTTTGTTTATTGAAGTATAGTCAGTTTACAATGTTGTGTTAATTTCTGGTATACAGCAGTGTGATTTACTTATATACACACACACAGACGTATAATGTATATGTGTATATATATATACGTGTGTGTGTGTGTGTATATCCTTTTCATATTATTTTTCATTAGAGGCTATTGTAATAGGCATTGAATATAGTTCCTTGTGCTATACAGTGGGACCTTGCTGTTTATCTATTTTACATATAGTCTTTAGTATCTGCAGTTCCCGAACTCCTAATTTATCCCTTCCTACCCCCTTTCCCCTCTGGTAACCATAAATTTGTTTTCTATGTCTGTGAGTCTGTTTCTGTTTTATAAATAAGTTTGTCATTTTTTTTTTTAGATTCCACATATAAGTGATATCACGTGGTATTTTTCTTTCTCTTTCTGGCTTATTTCACTTAGTATGACAATATCCAGGTCCATCCATGTTGCTCCAAATGGCATTAGTTTGTTCTTTTTATGGCTGAGTAGTATTCCATTGAATATTACCACAGCAACATAAGCTGCATAAATGGAACTACCTTGGCTTCTAGGAATCCTTGGAACCTTCCTCCACTCCTCCCCTACCCTTCAGCCCCCAAACTCCTCATTCCTCCACCAGCCCTTCCCCTGTTCCCTTAAAAGAATTAATATAAGTAAACATTCTCCTTGTAGGAATTCTGAAAAGCAGAAAAGAAAAGAAAGCCACTTTCATTAACCCACCTCCCAGGTGCTGGGAGGGGTGGGGGGACCACTGTCAGCATCTCATATTGTATTTGAAACTTAAAAAAAAGGTGTTTCAATGTGAAAATGCAAATTCATGCACTTCTAATGAAACTTGGCCTGGATGGGACAGAGGTTGGGGACGTACTGCTTTTGGTCAGATCGGTTTTCAAGATCTCCGCCAAGCCCTTCATTTTTCTTCCTTGGTTGTTTTAGGGAGTGGCTGAGGCTGAGCTGGAGCAGAACCTGAATCGGACTTTCAGAAGCTTCTTCAGAACACATGATGAGGTAAGGGGCATGTGGGGAGGGGTGGGGGGACCCCAGATTGCTTCCCTGGGAGGATGTAGGGGGTTGGTTGGTGTCAGGGTCTGGGAATGAGCAACTTGCCTTCTTCCCTTTGACTTCTCTAGTCAGGGCAGTTGGGGTCCTCACTCCACCAGTCCCTTCATTAATGGGGAAAGGTCACACCTTCACTGTCACACACCAGTAGGGCTTTGCAACTTAATGAAAGATCATGGCGACAGTTTAGAAATTCTACTGTTTTACCATTACCCTTTCCATAGGCATCATTGTCTATCAAAGTCCAGAATTAATTGCTGTCTCAAACCCTTTTCTTAAACAACCACTGCTAGACTGCTTTAACACAGTAACCCACCCTCCTGTCGCACATGTTGGGAGTCACTGCCACTGGGGTTGCTTTACTTCCCAATTTTTGCCAGGTGCTTTGCTGGCCACTTCTGGCATCTCACTCTTTTATACTGAGTTCAGTTTCTTTCTTCCTGAGGTACCTCCTTTGGTAGTACTCTCAACAAGAGTCTGCTAGCAGTAAACTCATAGATTTTTGGCCTGAAAATATCTTTATTTTGCTTTCACTCTTGAAGAACAGTTTATCTGAGTATTGCATTCTAGGTTGACAATTGTTTTCTTCTAGAAGCTTCTATCATTGCTTATAAGAAATCAGCCCGAGGGCTAACTTCTTGGGGATTATTTGTCTTTTAGTCGCAGCTGATCAGTAGTTTAACCCATCTCTGAGGTTTTCTTTTTAATTTCAGTGAACAGATTTTTTTGTTGTTGTTTAATTTTTTTTTTAGGTTTATTTATTTATATTTTGGAAGAGGTGGGGATTGAACCCAGGACCTTGTGCGTGCTAAGCATGTGCTCTACCACTTGAGCTATACCTTCCCCACTGTGGTTTAATTTTTGGAAGTTGTATTTGGTTCTTTTTCAAATCATTCTTATCTCTAAGTCTTGTTCTAAGCTTGTTCAGTTCCTTCTTTTGTCTTTAACTGTTTTAAGCATACTCATTTTTCATTCTCTCTCTCTCTCTCTCTTCCTCTTCAAGTTCTATTATTTGGTGTTCTTGGAGCGTCTTGTTTTATTGTTCGCTGTGTTTTCTGTCCCTTGTAATGGGGCCTCGTGTTGGAGGGTGGGGGAGGGAATTTTGTAATTTTGGTTTGTGGGCTCATCTTCAGCATCACTTAATCTGCACCAACCTGCTTCCACTGGGATGGAGGAAATGGCCCTCCTGTGCGGTTTAGCGTTTGTTTCTTCTGCCAGGCATCCTGCCGGCTTGACCCGCCCAGGCTCACTTTGGCTGTTGCTGTTTACTTCACTTCCTGGTGGTTTCCAGATCTCACAGATAGTGTCAGTTCAAACTCAAACATGCGCAAAGGCAGGCTTGTGGCTATGAATTCCTAAGGAAGCTTTATTTGGTGTTTTTGTTTTTTTCTGGTACCAAACTGAATGGACCAAATCCTTTGACATCTCTTTGTCATGATAAGTGGGTTTTTCTCTAGTCCACCCTTTAACTGATAGCCCAGATTGACTGAATTCACTGTGGAGGGGCAGAGAGGCTCTCATGTTTAGCTTCCCACCTGCCTTAGACCTAAGGTCTCATCTCTTGTTCCATTGGTTGATACACCCGCGTCCTTAACATTACCTGCAAGCACCCACGAGCAGCCTTGGCCTGGAACTTGGTTGTGAGCTGCCTCAGCTTTGATGCTGAGGACCTGCCTCGCTCTTGGGCATTTAGCATGGTGGTATAGTTTGCTGGTACTCATAGGGTTTTTAGATGACCTGTTCTTGCATATTTCCTTTGCTTCATCCATGACATCTTTTCTAACTTTTCTCCCTCCAGACTTTTCTCACCGTGAACAAAGTCCGTGAAGTGGGTAAGAGACATTCTTAGGAGGGAAGGGTGGCAGGAGGGCCACGGCAGGAACCAGCTGAGCGTTAAATGAGTCTTTCTCCATCTGACGGCTGTGGGCAGAAGCAGCTGCCTGCCGCCCCTTAACTATGACTTGTTTAATAAAGGTTCCTACTGGTGGTTTGCACTCACCCCGACCCTGGGCTGACCACACAGCCCCGGGTTTTTTTTCCCCCACGGAGTTTTGGATTGAAGATCTTAAACAGTAAGAGTTTAGAGGAATCTCACCCTCTGCTGATTAGAACCGAGGCCCAGGATAGGAACTGACTGCTGCAAAGTCACCTGGTGCAGGCAGAGCAGAAATCAGGCTAGACCCTCAGCTGGGGCTCCTCTGTCATAGTGCCCTTGCCTTCCCTCCATCAGAGTCAGTTTTGTTCTGTGAAGACAGCCCTGTTCTCACTCCTGGCTTGGATATAAGTGAGGAGCCAGGGCCGGGAGGAGACTGGAGCTCCTGAATTGGGCAGTGTTCGGCCCCAACTCTGGCTTCGCCATCATCCCTTGTATTTTTATTAACCATGATCACTGCCACTTGTTGGAGTACCTCCTGTGTGCATCAAACACTGGACCAGCCCCCTTTAAATAAATGACTTATAACCCTTGTGACATGGCCCAAACTCCCACTGGTGTCTCTATCCTGCAGGGGAGGAAAATGTGTCGCAGAAGAGTCACAGAATCTGTCCAAAGTGGCCAGGCTGGGGTTAAACTCTGCTGAGCCCAACGGCTTCTCTCGATGGTCAAGGACAGCTCTCCATTCCCTCCCTCCACCCCTCACTCATTTACATAGTCACTTGTTCATTCCTCCATTCCTCAAACATTCTGAGTGCTTGTTTGGTGTGAGGCAGGCGCAGGTACCTAAATGTACGAGGCAGAATCCTTGCCCTCAGGGAGCCCCAGTCTCTTAAGGAAGCAGAAAGCAATAATAAAGGGAGGAGAGCTGGTGGGGAGGGGGGTCCCAGAAGCCTGAGCAGCAGCAGCCAGGACACCTGCCTAGGGGGATGGAGAGCAAGGGAGGAACCCTGATCATATACCCCTTTGATGTATCTCCTGAGCACCTGTACCACCAGCGAGGCTCTGAGAGCTTAGAAATAGTGCGCCGGTCCCATTCATGCACCAGCATTAATACCCGTGGGGCTGTTGCCCAGGAAAAGGCACTGGTCCCTGGGCTGTCAGTCACCATCACGAGCTGCCCTCCCCACAGGGCCTGGGGACTTCAGGGACACCATGTAGCCTCTGAAAAGAAGATAGAATTTCATATCAAGGGTCCATGAGCCTGCAGAGAGCAATAGCGTGCTTTCTTCCTTGTCCTGGATTTTCCTCTAGACTAAGGCAAAAATCAGAGCATGGACTTGTGAAAACTCCAAGAGTCTCAGTGGAGATATTGAAAAAAGAACATAACTGTTAAACTATTTAGAAAAGGTGTCATCTAGGGGAGAGGATGGCTGGAGGCTGACAGGGCCCAGAAATGGAAAAGGGTGTCATCCTAGAACTGCGCTGCGTTCGAAGGAGAGGAGGGGTAGGTTTCGTCCTAGAAGTTACAGCCTGTGTGTGTGATACCCTCGGGTTCCAGGATGACAGTAAGAGCAAGGACTTGGAGCTCGAGACTGAGTGGGTCATCGTGGGAAAGAGAGCACAAATGAAGGAGCGTGAGGAGAGTTCAGACAGGATGGGAGAGGCAGTTAGGTGCCTGACCTCAAGTGGGAACGCTGGCATTAGAACACAGACACTTGCTCCCGGGCTATGGGAGAGGAAAGGCGTGGCTTTTTGCAGGAGGACTCTTTGTGAACACCCCAGAGGAGCCCAGCCTCAGCAGGATGGTCACCGAGGAGGACATCCAGTTCTACGTGCAGCAGTTCAAGAAGTCCGGTTTCAGGTAAAGAGAACAGTGCCCCAAACACCAGAGAGAGTGTTAGCAGAGAGGGTGCTCTGCTGTCACAGTACAGGGCGAGGTCCAGTGCCCCTCTGGCTCAGCCCCCATGAATTCCTGGCCAGCTCCTGCTTGAATGCCTTCAGTGTCGGGAGGCTCACTATCTGACGATACTCAGCCTGCTGTAGTTTGGAGAGTTCTGTTTGTTATCCCTTATGCGGCCCCCTCGGTGCAGATGTTTTTCACCCTTTTTCAGTCGTGACCTCTGTGAGCATCAGAGGACAGCTCTGAGCTCTTCAGAAAAACACAAAAACCCACAGAAACTCAAAAATTGCATACATGTTGGGGGAGGAGGGCAGGCTAGAGACCTCTCATATTTATACATTTAACACTTTCCTGAGCTCTAACTCACAAAGCATAGAATTCACCCACTGAAAGAGTACAATTCAGCGATTTTTTATCTTTCCGTGGAGCTCTGCCATCATCATCACGATCCATTTTAGACTGTTTTCATCACCCAAAAAGCAGCTCTGTTCCCTTTTGCAGTCACCCCCCCCCCCGGTCCCCTAGTCCTGGGCACTCACCAGTCTGCTCTCCGGCCCCCGGACCTGCCTATTCTGGTCATCTCACACAAATGGAATCTTGCACCATGTGGTCCCCGGTGCTTGGCGTCCTTCGTTCAGAATGTTCTCGGGTTTGTCCATGGTGTGGTCTGTGCCAGGACTTCATTCCTTTTTCTCAGGTCTGTTTTCATGCTGTGGTTCTGGGCCCTGCCCTGGAACCACTAAGAATCACTCTAACAGCCCCTTTTCCTCATCGTCCTTCAAATACTTGGATATCACGAATCTTTGAAGCTCACAAGTCCCTCGAGGGCGCTCCTGCATTTCCGTCCTCCTCCTCTCCCTGTGCATCTCTCTTCACACCCCATCCTTCATTTAGACCCAGGGGTGCAGAAGGAGACCCACAGCCGCCCCAGCTTCATCAGCCCCGCCTGTAAGTTCACGGAGTGGCAGCCTTGGCCGTGAACACTCATGGTGGCCCTTTCGGCCCAGTGTCTTCTGCACCACAATTGCAACTCTTCCTTAAGTTTCTCTCTCTCTCTCTTCTTTTTTTTTTAACATGGGTGACAATTTAAGAGTCTCAGACTCGGGAACAGATGTGCTCAGGAAGGGAGTGGAGAAGTAATCAGATCTGGCCCTTCCGTGTACAGGAGGGAAAACTAGAAGTCCCAGAAGGGCACGTGGCTCGTTCAAGGCCCTCTTTTTCACTGGGGAAACCTCAAGGGCTGGACAGCCCCAACCCCCACCAAGCCTGAGGATGGGGGGGTGTTCTAGGTACAGCCTTGGAGCCACCCCGCCTGTCCTGAGGTGGCACCTCTGCATCACCTCCCGACAGCCCATTAGGTGGAAGGGACTCCCGGTGTCCCTTTGTCCCTTTTCTGTGGGTTCCCTGGGGCAGGGGAATGGCTGTGGCTGCTCAAGCTCCCCACCCCACTTCGAGACAGCCCTGGGAGGAAGTGGAGGGTCCGGTCCGGTCGGGCTGGCGTCTGGGTGTTGCTGGATGCCGGCTACAGCGGCTGTCAGCCCTCCGCCCGGCCCTGTGCCTGCGCTGGGCTGTGATGGATAAAGCCCAGCGAGCGCGCGGGGCAACAGGGCGTGATCCCGGGCTCTGTTCTCTTCCCGCTGCAGGAGCCTTTGCTCTTCCCAGGAAGACCGGCTCTGTGCAGCTGGTTGCCGGGGGATGGGAGGGGTCTGTAGCTCAAGCTTTCCTCTTTTTCTTCCCTGATCTGCCCCTCCCAGGGGTCCTCTAAACTGGTACCGGAACATGGAAAGGAACTGGCAGTGGGGCTGCAAAGCCTTGGGAAGGAAGGTGAGTCTGGTGATCCTCCCTCCCCCATAAACCTTACCCTGGGGGCTTCCGGGGGTCGTTTTGGAAATGCCTCCACTCCGGGATCCTTTAGGACCTCTTTTGCTGATGTTTCTCTTGGAATGGCAGAGGGTGGCAGAGGGGACAGAACAAAGGTCTTTTCAGGTGACTACAGCATCGGTCTGAAAGGTCCAGGTCTCCCGGTGATGCCCTGGCTCAGAGCACAGGTGGTCCAGGGTAACTTCCGGAAAGAGCATTGCGTGCTGTCAGAGAGACGGGGCTTTAGTCTCTGGCTGCGTCACCTTGACCAAGTCAGTGTGAGTCTCAGCTCCCTCACTGGTCAAGCAGAGATGGGTTTCCAATTTCTGGGTCTGCAAGGGGAGTAAACAGGGGCCCTCTGTTTTCACTTAAAATATTAAAAACCTAAGGGAAATTGTGTGTTCACGTTCCTCGGCTCACTTGGCAGCCCTGGTCACTTCCTTGATTCAGTCAAATGTATGAACACCCTCTCTGTGCCGGGAACTGTGCTAGACCTTAGGAATACCGGGCAAATGAAGCAGGTGAGGGCGACCTCATGGGGTTAGGTCTTGAGGAAGCAGAGCATGAAACATAGCGGTTAAGAGCAGGCTGGGCAGCCAGTCAGCCTGGGAGCTCACCTCTGTGTGACTCTGGGGAAGGCACTTAATCACTCTGTTCTCCGTTGCCACTTCTGTGATATGGAAAGGCAAGAATGGCCTACCTCTGGAGCTGCTTAAAGATAAAATGGGTTGACACCAATAAAATGCTTAGTTAGAACACATCCTGGCATATAGTAGTGGTTCAATTAATGCTTTTTTGCCTTCTCACGACTCTAATCTGGGATGGATGAAAATGACAAAACCGCAGTTTGATTGGCAAACTCGCTCCAAGCGTGAGAGATGAGGTCAGGTCTTTGGGGAAGTGAACCCCGATGGTGGTAAGGATGGGAACGTCTTATTCTGTGGTTTCCTTCCATCAGATGAGGTCTGGGAGGGTCCCCAGAGGGCTTCCCCCTCTCCCACCTCCTCCCACGCCTCCACCACCACTTTGCATTTTGACTTAGAACATTCTAGAGTCTACACACCCCCACAGCTGACTCGGGATTTATTTCAACCATAAAATCACTTCTGAACATCCCCTGGTTCTTCACGCCTTGGAGGAGGGGAGCAGCGAGGGTTATATGGCTCTGCACGGAGGTGAAAAATGGTGCACATTCCTTAACCAGGGACACTGAAGGCTGTTGGGCAATTGTAATGGGAGCATGAGAACAGAGAATAAAGGGAGGCTCTCTCGACCTTGACCTTTCGGTGTTCCGTTTATCAGCAGATAAAAGTGGAGCCTTTTTTGCTGCCTTTAATGTCACACTGATAATGGTGTGGTCAGCCCAGTCACACGCCAGCTGCTCTTGTCAGGCATCCACTTCATTCGAAGAAAAGGAATGTTAATCTCCATCCAAGGGCATCTTTCCTCCTTTCTGGAGCTGTCTGGTCCCACGAACATCAGTCACACAGAGCGGGCCACACACGTGCTCTTACTTACACGCGCACACACACACTCTGTGCTCACTTCACGGCTGAATCTGTCCCCGTGAGAAAACCCAGTCCTTTCCTTTTGTGTGCCTCCTTTACTTTCACACAAAACACTGGCCTTCTGACACTCCTTGTCACCAAGTGTGTGTGGGGTTTCCCACACCACCAGGCAATTCTCTGCGACACTCGCTGGATGCCCTACGGCATAACTCAGTTCTGACAGTATCTCTTTGGTGACAGCGCCAGCTCCCACAGGCTAAGGTCTCAGTCCTGCAGGACTGCACTCCAATTCAGATGCCAGTCCCAAGTCCAGGTTCTTACCTGCACTTCCAACCGATTGGCTGTAACTCTGAGGTTCCCAGGACCCCCTCCTTGGGTCCGTTAATTTGCTAGGGCAGCTCACAGAACTGTGAGGAAACACTTATGTTTACCAGCTTATTAAACGTGAACCACCAGATGAGGAGACACATCGGGTGAGGTCTGGGAGGGTCCCCAGCCCAGGAGCTTCTGTCCCCACGCAGCGGGGGTGTGCTCCCCTCCTGGTGTGGATGAGTTCACCAACCTGGAAGCTCTCCGAGCTCCAACCTACTGAAATTGTATGAATTTTTATGGAGACTCGATCAATTATTAACTCCGTTTCCAGCCCTTTTCCCCTCTCCCCTTCCAAGGCGGGGGAGGGGTGGCTGAAAATTCCAAGCTTCTAACCGTGGCTTGCGCTTTCTGGCCGCCAGCGCCCATCCAGGAGCCCCGCGGCGTCACCTCGTTAGAACGAAAGATGCTCTTAGTGCTCTTGTCACTTAGGAACTTACAAGGGTTTCAGGAGCTCTGTGCTGGGAACCGGGGACAGAGACGAAGATAGACATTTTCTAATCTCTCACACCATCATTTTATTAAAAAATTTTTTTTTAAATCTGTCAGCATTTTTTTCTTTCTTTATTTTTATTGAAGTATAGTTGCTGTACAATATATAAGTCACAGGGGCACAATATAGTGGTTCACAATTTTTAAAGATTATGCTCCACTTACAGTTATTATAAAATCTTGGCTGTAATCCCCATGTGGTACAATAAGTCCCTGTAGCTTCTTTCATACCTGACAGTTTCTACCTCTCAATCTCCCCAGCCCTTCAGACCTTCAGTTACACTGATGCCTCCTCCGTACAAAGCATGATGGAAGCAAAGCCAGACCACCGGGGTGCTGTGGGGGTCTTTTGAGGGACAGTTAATAGTGAAGGAAGCCACCCGGAGGGCGTGAACATAAAGAATATCCCCTTGCCCGGGTGAGGGAGGGCCCGGGTGCCGAGGGCTCCAGAAGAGACCGTCTCTTCCCCCTTCCGGCTGCTCCTACTTCCGTTATCCTTCCCCAGATCCTGATTCCGGCCCTGATGGTCACCGTGGAGAAGGACTTTGTGCTTGTTCCTGAGCTGTCCAAGCATATGGAGGACTGGGTAAGGGAGTGGTCCTGCCCCGGGGTCATCAGTGCTTCCTCGAAGAGGACACCGGTGCCTGTGAGGATGCAGAGTGGGATTTTGGGTTGGGCCACTTGCCTGAGATGAGTTGGGTCAGTGCTGTGTACCAGGGAGGTGATACGGTACAGACCCCGCCCCACAGGAGCCCGCCGTCCAGCAGTTAACCCCACAGGCAGGAGGGTGGTGCAGACGAGGGCACGGCTGGGAGCGAGGGCGTCACAGAGGTGCTGGCCACTGCCCCTGGCCTGGATGAACTCCCAAGTTGTGCCTGGCAGAGAGAGAGACAGGCTGAGGAAAAGCAAGGATGGATGAGAGAGCTCAGAGGACACAGGACGCTAATGCGGCTGGGAGGCTTTGCTGAGCCTGCTGGGCCGGCCTGAGCTGTGTGGACCCATGGGCGTGGGGGCCGTCGAAGGGGAGTGTGACAGGTGTCCAACCTGCGGGTTGAAAGCGCATTCGGCGGAAAGCATGGAGGTTGCTAGGGATGGAGAGGCCTGCAAGTGGATGCTGGGAGCATCCGTCTGCCCTTGACCGTGGCTTTGTAGCCTCACGTGGCGTGGCAGAGAGTGCATTTCCAGGGATGCTGCCAAGGACAGCTGCAGAGCCAGTCAAGGAAGGACTGTGACCCACTTTGGGGATTTAGGTTCCAAAAGGGAGGCCGGACAGCCTGGCACACAGACCAGGAGGAGGGAGGCAGCCCAGGAAGGGGACGGGCAGTGAATGGGCGGAGTCCTAATGGTTCTCAAGGGAGGCAGTCCGTTGTGATGAGTATGGGTCAGCCCAGATTTGAATCTTAGCTCAGCCCTTCTGTGTGGCCTTGGGCTAGTTACCTAACCTCTCTGAGCCTTCCTATTACTCACAGGATCCTGATCAAGGTTAACTAAGGCAATGCATGTGGGGCACCCAGCACATAGTAGGAGCTCAGTCGGTGGTCATTCCTTTCCTGAATAATGCAGCATTTTTAGGGGACTGGCCCAGGGGGAGCAGAGAAGAAGTGGCCTGCTCACAGGGGTCTCTGTCACACTGGTAACCTGAAACCAGGCCATTTGTCTTCTGCCATTTACCTTTCTGGGTGGGGTTTTCTTCCAGATCCCCCATCTGAAAAGGGGACACATTAATGATTGTGGACACTGGACACAGACGGAGAAGTAAGGAGATGGGGGGTCCCTGCGTGGGGGACCTCAGGAGCCCCCATTCACCTCCAATAAGCCGCTTGCTTGGCCACCTCTGCCTCTGTGTGAGTGAGGTGAGTGGGTCCAGACAGGTGTGAATCGCCTTCTATTCCCTTTCCAGGCCCACCGAGTTAAATCGGATCCTCATTGAGTGGCTGGAGACTGATGCCAGGGACCCACCGGTGGTCTCAAAGCTGTAGGGTGTGGCTTGTGTCAGCCCCCAGCCCCCAGCAGGTGCTCCAGCCGCTTCACCTGCTGGGGCGCTGCTCTGGTACCCGGACGGGGCCTTCCCTCATCTCATAACCAGCAGCGTTGTTCTGAAGGAGTTTGCAGCAAAGAGTGATTTTCTTTCAATGAAATGAGTCAAATTTGACATAATTTGAGACACACGGAAAGTCACGTGTGATTAATTTTCTGGATATGAATGCATCGCTTTATCTCTAAAAATGATTAGTGATCGGTGGGGGATGGAATGGGATGGCCAGGGGGTGATTTTTCTTTGACTAATCAGTTTATCGATTTGATGATGCAAAATCAGCAATCTGGAAGCATTTCAGCAGACTGGGACTCCTTTATTCAATAAAGTTAACAACTGTGATAACTGTCGTTTGTGTCCTTGGGAGGAAAGCAGGTGATTGTTCTAAGAAAGTGTCCCGACTGAATGAGCACGTTTCCCTCTGTTCTGGAGTCTGTGAGGCTCTGCATGGCCTAGATCAGAGCTGTCCTGTGGAACTTTCTGGTCTATTTTGTGCTGTTGGACAGAGTGGCCACTAGCCACGTGTGGCCACGCACCCTGTCTGCCCGCTCCCTTCGCATGGTGCGCCCGTGGACATACGCTCGCCTCCCTCGCTGCACGTTCTGCAGAGAAAGCTTGTGGGCGAGGTGGTGTCTCCAGGCTGAATTCTGAATTATGATGAGTGTAAATCAACCAAGCAAAATGTTACATAACTCCAAGTGTGTGCAGAAAGCAAGGGGCAGGTTAGAAATGTTAGCTGCTCTCATTATTAAATACCTCTGTGTGCCTGGAGCCCTACACGCACCATGTCTTATCCTTCCCATTTAACAGATGGGAAAACTGAGGTTCAGATAACTTGCCCAGGTCACTTGGCCAGCTGGGGGAGGAGTCTAGGTTCAGACACATGCTGTCTGGTTCCACAGGCCGAACCCCTTCTTCCAAATCTCTTTTCCTTTTTGAATCTGGAGTCAAACCACCCAGGCCAAACCCCTGCTCCACTGCTCACCATGGGGTGACCTCGAGAAAGGGTTTCCTAGGCCTCAGTTTCCTTTCCTATAAAACAGGGACATGACTAGCACTGAACTCATGGGTGATTGTGAGTATGAAATGAGTGTTGAGGGAATGCAGACGGGGCCCGAGGATGGAGCCTGGTGCAGACCGTGTGCTCCGCAAGTTCTGGCCGTGAGATTTCCAGTTTCTCCCAGGATGGGGCCTCAGAGGGTGTTACTCTCGCAGCCACCCCCCCACCACCTCCTGCCTTGTGGATCTGAGAATGAAAGGGCTCATTTGAAAAATAAATGTGTGTCCCGGGGAAATGGCTACACAAGCCAGACAACATAATTTTGCTAACAACGCCCAGGCTTATCTGTACAGGAGCGGTTGGAAGAAAGGAAAGAAGAATCTTAGAACATCTTTCATCAGAAAAAGCACAAGGAAACAGACCTTCTCGGCCTGCCTCAGTTTCCAAGATTCCACCCAGTAACCTCCCTGGCCCATTCAAATGCTCAGAAATGCTACTCTTCTGGCCAGGAAGTGCCGGTGAACCAAGTTCATAGCATCACAACAAAAATATCACCAGTCACACGAGATTGAAGGTCATAAAAAAAAACTCGACTGGAAAAGGTCTTTTTAGGTCATTCCCCGAAAATACTTTTCAGATGCCATTTTAAGTACAATTTGTTTAAAGTAAGTTCAAGTTGATTTGATTTCAAAATGTTTTATATTTCAGGACTACAAAGGGTATAAATAACATATGTGTTACCTCTGCCCCGGGAAATAGCCGTTTTTTAAAAGAGGTGTGGCTGACCCCACACTCACTCACACCCGCACACCCGTGGGGAACCTGTGCGACTGTTTGACGTATGTCAGCATTCAGAAGACAATAATTCTCTGTTGATGCAAGTCAAAGCGAGCAAATTCCAGAGAACGCCCCCAGACGGTAATCTTTGCTGCCACTGAGGAGACTGGACTATTCAGTCAGTGTCTCCATCCATTATCCTGGATTCGGATGGAAAAAGAACTCCGAGAGGCGGGAGGTGTTTCAGACAGTGTCACCCCCTCTGAATGAACTTTATGCCCTACATCCGCTGTTTTTAAAGAGAATGAGCTGGCTGAGTGGGACAAGGAAGTGATATCTGCAGATCAGAAATCATTAAACATTAAAATCCAATGTTCACAGTGTTTCCGGGCAATGTGTTAAGTTACCACGTACAAATTGTATATTAAGGACTCATTTCCACTGATTAACAAGCACAGAAAGGGAAGAGATAGAAAAGCTCTGTGACCACTGAGATGCTAACATTAGCGTCCCTTGCCAACAAATGCTTGAAAAAGTTACGACTCAGCAATCATCGAACAAGCGGAGTCTTTCAGACAGGAGGAAATAAGCAATAAACCATCGACCTCAGACCACGAGAGGGTGGCAGTGCAGACTGGATTAACTGATAAACACCATTTTTGCTGATTTTTGTATTTCTCTTCATGCCATTTTACTTCTTTTCAATAAAGGCAATTTATAGAATTGATGTGACTGCCTTGGAGGAGAGGGAGGAGGTGCTCCCTGCAAGGGCAGTAGCACACGGTGAGGGAAGGAAGCCCGGTGTGCGACCCCAGGCTCCGGGAGGGAAGGGAGCCCCTGGCAGTTCTGGGGCACAGCCCAGGCTCACCCACGCCCACCGCACCCGGCTTCTGCAATGTCCTGGCTCCAAATGCATTCACCCAGAGGGGAAAACTTGGCTTCCACTGTAGTTAAAGGGGCATTTGTGGGTGGGAGCAGGATACGCTTTGCCAGAAGTTGTGGGGACGGGGCTTGGGGGTGAGTGGGAAACAGGTTATTTCTTTGGAGTGACATCACGTGGTCCCTCGGCACTGCCCCCGCTCCTTGCCGTGGGCCTCTTTGCTCTCCTGGCTTGATGCTCACTCCACCCCATCTGGTGGCCCCAGCCCCTGGGCCCCCTTCCAGGATGGAGAAGGGACAGTGGCCAACCTGATCAGTGTTTTCTCCATCCCCCAGCCGGCCCTCCCTCTCCCAGGCAGGGAGTCCGAGGTTCTACAGGGAGGTGGCCCCGGTCTCTCCCCCCGGGTAATGGAGCTGGCAGCCTTGGGGGCACGGGCCCTGACGCCCAACAGGGACTGCCCCAGGGAAACAGCGGCCAGAGGCCTTGCCCCTCTCTCTCTCACAAGGGATCCCGGTGGAGACCCCAGCCCAGGGCCTTGCGGACACTGTGCTCGGGTGGCCACAACACAGAACCACAGACTGAGTGGCTTCAACAACAGACATTTGTTTTCTCGCAGCTCCGGAGGCTGGAAGTCCGAGACCAAGCAGGCGGCAGGCGGGCTTGGCTTCTCCTGTGGCCTCTCTCTCTCCGGCTTGTAGATGGCCGTCTTCCCCCGGGTCCGCATGGCTTTCCGTCTGTGTGTCTGTCCTAATCTCTTCTCGTCCAGACACGGTCATACTGGGTCAGGGCCCGTCCTAATGACTTTATTTTAACTTTATTACCTCTAAAAACCAATCTCCAAATACAGTCACGTTCTGAGGTCATGGGGTTTAGGGCTTCAACACAGGAACTTGGTTGGGGGGGGGCATAAGTCAGCCCGTAATGTGGGTGCCGGCCCCTCTCCGTGGCCCTGCTCTGCAGAGTCCTCGCCCGTCCCCGGGACTCACCTCTCTGCTGATGAGCCATTGCTACGTGGTCACAAACAGCAGTGTCCGCTGGCTGGGATTCCCCTGTGGGGAGCACGCAGCCGCCACCCGCCTCAGTATGAATGTTTGTGGCTGGGGGCTATGATCCTACACACACGTGCACACACACACGAGCACGCGCGCACACACACGTATGCACCTGGCAGCTGGTGGAGATCCTGGCCTGGGGGACACAGGTGTAACCCAGACCCCCCACCCCCATTCCAGGACGTCTCACGTGTGTATCTGACCCCAAGCTCCACTCCTCCAACTCAGCCTTTCCTCCAAAACTCCAGTTCTTGCTCACACTTCCCACTAGACGCCGGCTCTCGGCTCACAGAGATCTGATAAGTCAAGACGTTCAGTGATTTATTAATCTGTTTGTTGCACAAATGTGCCTTGGTGGCCAGCTCTGTGCCAGGCACTGAGCCAAAAGGTGGAGATGTGGACAGAAATGTCCCAAGGAACCTGCCACAGCGAGCTTGAAGCTGGGGGCGGATACAAGAGCTTGATACCATTTCAAGCTCTGACTGTGTCTCGTGTGTCTGCTCTAACCTTTATGCCCACCCGGAGAATTAGTGCCCCCACTTTCTGGAAGGGAAAACTGAGGTTCACAGAAGTTAACCATCAAAGCATGGAAGAGGATCCCCGGTCTGTCTGCCCTAAGGCCTGGGAACAAGAAGACCTCAGCTAGAAGACTCTGCCTGGGCTGAGTGTCACCTGTCCCCCGACCTGTGCTGTAGCCACCAGCATCCTGTTCCGTCTCCTTGTAGCAGTGAGCAGCTGGTGTATTCAGCCCCCAGCTCTGACTCCCCTGACCTACGGTGAAGGACCCAGTGTCGAGACCAGGGGTCCTTTGGCTCCAGGATGCCTTGACTTGGGGTCAGAACTCAACAGTTTTCAGGAAGACAGCAGCCACCCTGCAAACACTGCCTATCTACCTTTCTGCCTAAGAGGGGCTGGGGGCAGGGGCAGGCCTGGGCTGCTGTTTGTCTGGGTGGAGCCTGTCGTCACACTGTTTACTCACCTCTGCTGAGGCCCAAAGCCCCTCCGTGTGGCCGCTGTGGACTCAGCCCTGAGCTTCTGCAGTCACTGTCACCGTGCGGTCAGCTCCAGTCCCGCTGCCCTGTGCCCTGTTCCCGGAGGAAGCCGGAGTCAGCCAAGGCCACTGACCCACCACTGGAGCCATGGTAGGGCCACATGGCACGGCTGGTCAGCCCCGCGGGTCTGCGTCCAGCTTGGGCCAGTGAACCTGGACTGGGAGGGCAAAATTAGGGCAGGTCTGGGGCCACGGGGAGGCCGCGGGAAAGCTCTTGAATTGGACTCGTGGCTCTGGGGGAGGCACTGGGGGTGCTGGGGAAGGCATGGGAGAGGGAGACCTGGGTTAGACTCTAGCATCTTTGCTTGGTTGCTGTGTGAGCTTGGGGAAGTTACTTCACCTCTCGGGGCTTCCATTTCTACTCCTGAAAATGAGAGCAGTATTACTGATTTCATGGTATTGTTATAAGGCCTAAATAGGGTACGACATGTGGAGGACCCCAGAACAGTGCCCGGGGACACAGCAGTGCCGCACAGACAGGAGTGTTTTCCCCAGGGCTCCCCGCTGTGGCCTTGGTGCCAGGAAAGGCTGCCGCGGAGTCTCCCAGCTGTGCCCCTTTCCTGCAGGAGAAGCCTGCTGGGAGAGCTGAAGGCCAGTTCTGTTCCTTCTTGGCCCACCAGCCCACGCAGCCCCTTCCCCACTCGTCCTACTCAGCCAGGAACACCTTCCGCTGGGTCCCTCAGACGAGGGGCAGGAGCCCCAGTCCTGTAGCCTGTGGCTGCACCCTCTTCCCAACACTGGTGGAGTTTTCTGTGTGATCTGCCCCCTGACCTCGAGGCGGAGGGAGATTGTAGCAGGAATCCCCATACGTGGCCACGAGCTCCCAGTGCGTGTTTACCCTTCCTAGGGGCCCTGAGAGGTGATGGGGGCAGAGCAGGAGCCTAGCTCGGGACCACGGCCCTGGCCTCCCATCTCTACAACAGTGGGACAGCAGGATGGGGTCGAGGCAGCCAGAGGCCGCATCCCGGTGGTGACTCAGCTTTTGTCCTATCACAGGTCCATGGGTACAAAGGAGTCAAATTCCAAAACTGGGCGAGGACCTATGGCTGTTGCCCGGAGATGTACTATCAGCCCACGTCCGTGGAGGAGCTCAGAGAGGTAAGCGTCCCGCTCAGCACAGCGCCCGATGGCCCAGCCACAGGACCTCCAGATCTATCCAGGCCCTGTGGACCAGGCTTGCCCCAGAGAGGAGGCTGGGAGGTGGGCCAGCCCCAGAACAGCTGGCCGGGTGACAGCCCCATGAGGTCGGCTCCAGCTGGACGCCGTTGCCACGTGACCATGTGCGGTGCCACCAACGACTACCAGATTCTCATTTCCGGCTCAGATCTCCTCTCTGAGCTGCGGGTTCACATCTGACTTTTTTCACCGTGTCTCAAAGACATCACAGACTTGTATGCCCCAAACTACGTTTTCGATGTTTGTTCATTCGCTTGCCTTCAGCCTGTTGCATTGCTGTCTTCCCTGTCTCTGCACCAACCACGCAGTGGCTCAAACTAGAAGGCAGGTCCCTGTCCCTTCATTACCCTTCTCTGCCTTCAGCAAGTCCTGCCTCAGAAGTTTACAGAACCCACCTCCTTCTCTCCAGTACCATTGTCATTATCTGAGCCCAGGCCACCATCTCCTCCTCACCTGCTGTGGCCTGTGATGGCCTCACCTCTGGTCTCCTGGCTTCAATTCTTACCTCTCTCAAATGCACTTTCCACAACCAAAAAGTAATTTTCTGAAAATGTAAGTTAAGTAGTAAGTTAAGTACTTCCTTGCCCTTCAGAGGCAATCATTGTTTCCTGACTCCAAGGCCGTGCATCCTCTGAGCCTGTCTCTCCGGCCTCCCTAAGGTCCCTCTCTGCCTGGCTCACTGCCTCCCAGCCATGTGGCTCTTCCTTTTGATCACAGGAGAAACCAAGCCTTTTCCTACCTCTGCGCCTTGGCACTTGCTGTTCCCACTGCCCAGGATGCCCATCCCTTCACTTTTCACAGGACCAATTCCATTTCAACCTTCTGGTCTCAGGGTAAATCACCTCCTGGAGTCTTCCTGGACCACCTTATCCGAGAAGGTCCCCATCTCCTGCATCTCAGCCCCTCACTTATGTCTTTCATTGCATATTTAAAACCTGCAATTATTTTGTTGACATGAACATTTTCATGCTTTTGTCTCTCTCTTTATGTCCAAGGACATAAGACTATGCTTGTCCTGTTTTCCATTGTATCCTCAGTACCCAGACCTGTGCCCGGCACACAGGAAGCACTAATGAACATTTGTTGAATGAATGAATGAATGAGTGAGTGAGTGAATGAATGAATGAATGGACAAACCCAACCTCCGCCCTTAAAAACCTCGCCCCTAAGACAGGCTGCATACGACTAAATCCAGGGGAACAGATGTGGTTTCACAGAGTAGCAGAGCACAGGGGAGGGAGAAATTCACTCTGAGTGTGTGGGTGCGTGTGTGCCAGTACGTGCGCGGTGTGTGTGTTGGGAGGCACTCGGAGGAGAGCAGAGTGAATGACACCGTCATCTCTAAGCGATCAGCACCACCTGCTTCCTATCTATGGCCTCATCCGTCCCCACAGCCCCTGTGGGGTAGTGATTTTTAGCCCCACTTTACAGATGAGCAGAGGCTCAGAGAGGCTTTGTCATTTTCCCGTATCACTAAGTGTCAAAGCTGGGATTCAAACCAAGATTCAAAGCCCCTAACTTGTCGTTCTGGAGAATGAAAGAACGCAGTCATTGAGTCGTCGGGCCCAGGAGCTCGACAGGGAGCTGGGGAAGGGTGGTGCCAGCGAAAGGAGGTGAGGAGGACACCTGGATAGTCGTCAGACCGCCGGGGAGGAGGCATGGAGGGGAGGGAGGAAGAGGAGGGCTGGGAGGCCTTGAACGCAGGCTTCCTTCTGAGCTGGGGAAAGCAGATGGAGGCGGGCTGACGTCCTGTGTGCCAAGGCCATTCCTAATCCCTGCTGGCCGGCACGGTTGTGAATTAGGAACAGGAAGAGGCCACTGCAGGCCCATGTTTCCCTGGGGGGCTGGTCGGGTCAGGGGAAAATGAAAATAGTTGTGTAGTCAAGGGCGGGCGAGGAAGATGGTATTAAACAGCTGTCTCTGCGGTAGTAGAAGCCATAGCTGTAAGCATGCCTCACGCATGGGGGATGGGGCAGGGGAGACAAGCCCTACGGAGCATTGCCCGGCCTTACTTGGCCTTGGAACCCCGTGTGGTATAAATCCTAAGACCCATGTTCCATGACCAGATGTGAGGGTGTTTGTGAAGGGACGTGAGGGTGAAAGGAAAGGGATTCCTTTAAGTGCCATCGGGCATTAATTTATTTATTCATTCACAGTCACTGTCAGGGGCGGGGTGGGGGGCGCGCTAACTCGTGCAGGGCCTGGGGTGGATGTAGGGGTACAAACCCAAGTTAAGCCACCATCCCTGCCCCCGGGAGGCTTAATTTCAGCCTGGGAGGCAGCTGAGGCTGGCGGGGGCCGACATGAGGACCCTGGACCTTATTCTGAAGGCCCTGGGTGCCCCTGAAAGGTTTTGCCCTGGAGAAGGACACAATCCGGGTCTCCAGCTGCATCGGGGAGCGAAATATCCTAAAGTATCCACTTTAGGATATTTCCTGTGTTCTCCACCCTCCTGGCTTCTGGCCCTTCTCTCTGGCTCTTATCTGGGGTGGTCTACATGGCAGGCAGCCTCCAGCCAGGGAGGGGCTTGGAGGCCGGGTGGGGGTGGGGGTTGCACAGAGCCTGGGCAGCCCGGCTGCCTCACAGAGGAAGGCCTGCCTGGGGCTGACCCTGGTCTTGCCCGGCAGGTGCTGGCCCTGGCGAGGCAGCAGAACAAGCGAGTGAAGGTGGTGGGCGGTGGCCACTCACCCTCGGACATCGCCTGCACGGATGGCTTCATGATCCACATGGGCAAGATGAACCGGGTCCTCAAGGTACTCAGAACCCAAGGCTCCCCGCCTCTGCTGGGCCCCAAGCCACGCAGGCTCGGCCTCCATCTCAGACTCCGGTGGGAACTTCTTAGCCTTTCTCCACAGGCTTGATCCCCGCTCTGCCTCTGAGTCCCAAAGTGACACCTGAATTCCTGGCCAGCCGATGATCTGCCTCCCGCCCCCAGGACCCTCCCTGGGTTTGCTCAGGCCTTCTGTTTGGTTGTGCGCCCCCTTGTGGCCATGGGGAGGATGTCCACCCACCCTCAGGCCAGTCTCCTCCCCACTTCTCTAGAGCAAGAACGGCAAGACAGACCTCCAAAGGTGGACTCACAATGACAAATCCCGAAGGGTTTGCATCTAACTTGTTTTACACATGGGGGCACTGAAAATCAGAGGGGAGAAGTGATTTGCCTAAGGTCGCACAGCTGATCAGCAGCCGAGCTGGCTGCAGACCCAGAAGTCTGACCCCAGCCTTGGGCCGGGACACTGTCTATGCAATTCAGCCACACCAGGGTGCCTGCAAGGGCGAGAGAGCGCCGGACAGGTGTGCTGCAGGTTAGGGGGCTCCTGTTCTCACCTGATGGGGCTAGCTCCCGTGAGCTGCAATTTTGCCAGGTACCTTCCCCTCCACCTATCAGAGGCTCTGGGTTTCTTCCTCCGATTGAATTCCTTATTTGCTCAGGCGGACAGTCTCCACCTCGTAGAAAATGTTCTGGTCAAGACATCAGTCATGGTGGTAATTAACTCTGATCGCTAATTAGTGAGAATGGGCTCCAGCAATTGATTTGGTCGGGCTCTGTGCTCGGGGTCAGCGGAATGAGCCTGTGCGTTGGAGTCACACAGATGTGGATTCTCATCTCAGTTCCGTCACCGCTGATGTTTGTGTGACCTTGGGCCAGTGACTTAAGGTCCCTGAGTTCTGTCTCCTCGCTGTGAAATGGAGAGAGACAGCTCCTCCCTCCCAGGGTGGCAGTGGGCATCTCAGGACAGAACATCCTTCTCCCACAGGGCAGGAACCTAACAGATGGGACCTCTCCCCCCTCCTCTTCCAGTTCCCAGTCTTTGCCCAAGTCGCCCCGGGGGGAGAGTAAGTGGAGAACGTGAACTCCGTTTGCAGGGTCAAGACCCTATAGGAGTAGCGTCTCCTTAGTTGGAAGTAACCGCAACCCCCCTAGTCTAGTGGGGAGCGTTAGTGCCAGCCCTGCAGTGACCTTGGGCAAATTCCTTCTCTCCCTTGCTCCTTATTTCCTTCCCCTGTGAAAAGAAGGGTTTCGCAGAGTGTTCCCAAGCCCCTAGGGCTCTGCCCACAGCCCCTGCAGCGGGAGGAGGCCCAGGCTGGCCACAGACTGAGATAGACTTTCTTGTTTTCTCAGGGGTCATGGCCGTTGGAAGAGGGTTAGGCGAGGGCCTAGCTCATCCCAGCTTGTGCTGGTCTTTTGCAGGTGGACATGGAGAAGAAGCAGGTAACTGTAGAGGCCGGCATCCTCCTGGCTGACCTGCACCCACAGCTGGACAAGCACGGCCTGGCCTTGTCCAAGTAAGAGCCACCCTACCCCCAATTCCTGGGTGGGCCAGTGATGGCCACTGCTCCCTGCCCTGGCCTCAGCCGGACACTCAAGGATCTGGCAGGAGCCAGATAGGAGCACTTCCCAGGGTGCACCTCCTTTCTCTGGACCCCTGTTCCTCCCCCAGATGGTGCCTATCTCCCCATTCCCCAGGGATTCAGGAGCTATTGTATGAGAAGAGAAAGAAGCAGTCTAGCATTAAAAAACATTCTTGTACAAGGCTAGGAAAACCATGGATTAAGTCTTTTTAAAACTTGCAACAAAACTCTATTGATCCAAACAGAAGGATATGCAAAATAGCACTCAGAGGAACTGAAGAGCGTGGTGTTTGAGACACAGGGCTTCCTGGCATGGCTATATGCGGCTTCAGTTGTCTCTCCACCTAAACATGCTATCGGTGAATGCTCAAATTTACTATCAAGGGTTTTCCATTGAAATAGGAGCCAAGATAGCCAAAGGAGTGAATGTCTAACTGTGGGGTTTTCAATCATCAGAAACAAGTGACAGAAGTATTTTGGATATTGGGGTAGCAATCTCTTCACAGCTGGAAATTGCAACAGTAGAAGCCTGTGGGTGGTCCATTCACCCCGCTTTCTTACTGCAGGTCCTGAGGCATCACTATACATTTTCAACCTAAAAACCATTCTGCTTCTGCCTTCCCAAGGGTCACGACAACTCAAACATTTATGGAGTGTCTACCATGTGGAGGCTTTGTTCAGGCCCAGAAAAGGCCAGAATGAATGAAATCCAGACCCGCTCACAAGGAGCTCCCAGCAAGGGGGCAGAGGGACCCACGAAGTGACGAGCATGGTGCAGAGCAGTTGGGTCAACGTCAGACAAGTATTCAGGGCACCGCAGGGCTCTAAGGGGGCCCAGGTCAGCCTTGGCAGGCAGGGGAGTGTGCGAGGGGATGGCAATCAGGGCAGGCTCCCCGCAGGAGGGGCCCCGGGGTTAAAATCTGACTAAGTGTGAACCAGAAAAAGGAGAGGAGAGAAGAGATTCAGGCAGATGGAGCAGCATGAGCCAAAATCTAGGAGAGGGAAGGTGTGGGGGGCGTGCTGGGGCCGAGGAGCAGACAGTGAGACACCGTTCACGACCAACAACTACAGGAGGCGGCGTTTCTGCTCATTACAGGCCTAGCTTCTGAGCCCTGGGGCAGCTCTGTGCCCTGTTCATGAAGTGTCTGTGTCTTCCCTGTGGACCCAGTCCTCCCCAAGTAGCTGTCTGCACGGGCTCATCTGCCTCTCAAAGGGAGTTAGGATGGCCTGCCTGTCCAGTGTATCTCCAGGGCCACCTGGGTCTGCAGCTCCAAGGATGCTGTGGGGACCTCAGGAGTGGCTGGGGCTGGGGGGAAGCACAGAGCTGTGATGTGTTGGGCTGCATGCTGGGGGCTTGAAGCCCCCACTCATCAAATCATCAGCCCTGGAAGGAAGGAACAGAAGCAGCGTCTGGGGCAAAGAGGCTTCCCGAGGTCATGCAGCTGGAAAGCTCTGGAGTGCCCCACTGTGGTGAGCCAGAGCGGGCAGGACACAGGCGCCGTTCCGAAGAGGCAGGACAGTGGCGTGGTAAGGTCCCCAGCCCCTGAAGCAGGCGGCCCGGGTGCAAATCCTGATCCTGCCTCTTTCCAGCTGTTAGTCAAGTTCCTTGATCCATCTGAACCTCAGAGTTCTCAACCAGAAAATGGGGGTATTAAAATAGGGGCACTCAGAGGCATGGATGAGTCAAAGGTGCCCCACACAGTAAGTCAGTTCACCTTCATTTTCCGGGCTCTGGTAAACTGGGATGAGATAGCAGGCAGGAGATGAATCAGTTCTTCTTTTCTGAGGGGCCTCACACCACAACCTGGGTGCAGGGGGGGCATTGTCCCTGGAAGCCTAACTGGTCCCCATGTCCCTCCCTAACCCCCTCCTGCCATGCGCAGCCTGGGAGCCGTGTCAGACGTGACTGCTGGCGGCGTCATCGGGTCTGGAACGCACAACACGGGGATCAAGCACGGCATCCTGGCCACCCAGGTGAGTCCACCTGCTTCCTGGCACACCACTGAGTGAGGGGACGGGGGCGGTCAGACAGAGCCCCTCCTCACTGTGGCTCCGGGACAACCAGGCACTCTTTGGGCAGTGTTGGTACAGCTCCTTGGGGGCCTCAAACACAGCCCAGGTCTCCCCTCTGACTTGGCAGGTGCCCTCCAGGAACATGGTCTTCTCGAAACCTCATCCACCCCCAAAAGACACAAGTGATGAAGGGGCCCTTGTGCACATTGATGCACCCCCACCTCTCAGGAGCCTCCTGGCCACCCTGTAGAAAAGGACAAGTAGAGCAAAGGGTTCCATCTCCATTGGGCAAGGGGCCTTCCGACATTAGCAAGTCAGGGAGGGGCCAGGAAGGATCCCAGCACATGTGGGCCTAGGATCCACACCTGACCTTCACCGAGAAGTGTTTCTTAAACTTCACTTGACTCCAGTTTGGGGCACAGATTTTGGACTCGGACCTGGGCCCCAAACCTGTCTCCGGCATGCACTGGGTGTACGCAGGTGGGTGGTTTGTTTACCTCATCTGGACATCCCTGTATCCAGCTGTCACCTGGTGAGAAGACCTTTTGACTCAGGAGGGGTCAACGAGACAGCGTGTGTTAAATGCCTGGGGGCCCGAGGACAGTTCATGACACCTGCGTCAGGAGCCACCCTCTGGAGGGCCAACTCCTTTGACTCAGTGGTGGGGGGGGCTTCTAATGGGCCAGGCTGTGGCGCCGGGAGCAGGCTGCTGGGGTGTGCCCAATGAGGCCGGCCGCTCGCCCTCAGTGGGGAGAGACCCCCATGCTGGGTCAGCGCGCCGTAGCTTGCCACGTGTTTCCCCTGCAAAAGTTCATCTACACTGGGAACCATGTGGCCTCCCAGCTGAGTCTCGGGCTTGATTTTGCATCCCAGCGCTCCCCCTGTTGTCTCTGTGACAGGGAGGGGGCAGGTCTCTTTGCCTCTGGCTGCCTCCGTGCGCTTCCCTGGAGGATGGAGATGATCGCAACAGCAGTGCATGCGGGGTGCTTGGACGAATGCACACAGTTAGTGCTCAATAAATGTCTGTGGTGGGTTTTGTGTCTAAGACAGGCCCTTTCCAGAGCCCACACTCTGTGCACTCTGTGCTGTCCGAGAAGTTTCCGCATTGCTGGGGGGCTGACCACACTGATGACTTACGTGTCCCTAGAACAGGGCTCCCCAACATTCAGTTCTGAGGAAGACAGACACCCCAGCCAGCGCTGTCTGAATGTGGCTTCTGAGACCTGGGTCCCCTGTTCTCCAGCTCAGAGCAGCGCTGGGATCAAAAGAAAACAGCCAGTCGCAGTGTCTAAGGATTCACTTTGTTTTCTCACACGCACACCAGGAGAAGTCTACTTCAATTACTGTTCCTTAAATCTGCACTCCGCTTCCTCACAGCCTCAGGCACTCACGTGGGCGGCCCCTGTCCTTTCCCCCTCCCTCTCTCAACCACAAAATCCTCCGAGAGTCACCGAGCAGGGGAGGGGCACCCTGAGGAGATGCAGTGATTCAGGGGAGGGGGAGATTGAGGACACCGCGCCCCTCCCGTAGGTAAGAGCTGTTGCAGCGAAGGTGGTAGGTTCTGTGCGACCTGATTCCCAGGTACCTGGAGCCCCCATCGTCCTGGCATTACCCTTTCGAAGCGGGACTTACTGCCCAAGAGAGCCCAGTGCTAACTGGGGGCGAAAGGCCATAAACTTAGCCACCCACAAGATCTGGCCACAGTCCTAGGCTTCTACTGAGGGGGTGAGGTCAAGCTGGTTGCCTCAGATTCTCCAAAATGATAATCAGGGTATGGGAAAGAATGGTCAAAAGAGTGGTCACAAATCAAAATGTGTATGAGATTTACTGGCCACTTCTCTTAGGAAGCCCATCTGAGCTGGACCAGCCCCTGCAAGCAGTGGGAGATCTGCGCTGTTTAATTTTGCATGTTATGCCCATGGCAGGGAGCATGGGGGGGAGACCGACATCTTTTTCTTCTTTTTTTCTTTTTGTATTATTTAATTATTTTATTTTTAGGGTTCGGGAGTAGGTAATTCGGTTTATTTATTTTTACGGGAGGTGCTGGGGATTGAACCCAGGACCTTGTGCATGCTGAGCATGCGCTCTACCACTGAGCTACCCTTGCCCCCATGACATGTGTAATATCTACTGTGCACCAGGTGCCTAGCCGGGGGCTTCCATACTCTCTCTAAGATTTTCTCGTCCTTTCACAGATGAGGAAACAGAGGGGTTAAGTCACATACCCAAGGTCACACAGCTCATGAATCAGGGCCCCGCTTTATTGTTGGAGTGTTTCACTGGCCAGCTTGCGTGCTCTGCTCCGGATCCCAGACCAAGTCTGGTTTTTATAAAAATCGTTCTGACGCCCTCGCTCCCACGAAGGGCCACCATGCCCCATTTCTGCCAGTTTTTCCTCTCTGGTCTTAGTCCCTGTTAATCAGAATTAGTTTAGCTTTATCTGTTCTCTCACCCTGAGCAGCCAGCCACCGACTACACATGTCAAAAGCAATTTCCATCCAAATCAGCAGGTAGCAGGGTGTGGAGAGGTACTCAAACAGGCAATGAAAGAGGACGCTTCTGGCAATGGGGAACAAGGGCCAGGATACTGAAGTTCCTCACCTGTCTCCAAGCAGGCATCCTTTGCAGAGACTAGAGATTTCTGGTTGCTGGGTGGCCAAGCAGGAGAATCCAGTACATGAGGCGGGTGGGTCCCGAAGGAGAAGATGGGCTCAGCTTGGCTGAGATGGTGTAGTGGGGGGAAACAGGTGGAGAGAGCTCCCAGGGGACCCTGGCCCCCTCCACCTGTGCGTTGGGACAGTGGGGCCGGCTCTCCCCCAGATGCACACATCCTCCCTCTGCCTTCACGCAGCGCCTCCACCCAGGGCCTCGCGGCTCTTTGGAGCATGTCTGATCTCAGACCTCTTCCGGGCAGAGGACAAGCTCGCTGCATCCAGACAGTGAAATCCACACTAGGAACAAAGCAGCGGCAGGAAGATGAGCCACCGGGGCTCCGTGGAACCGCAGGCAGTGGATGGGCCCCTCCCTGCTGAGGGCTGATGATGCCCAGACACCCCGCCCTCTTTCCCCAGAGCCCTTCTCCCTCCTCAAGACTGAGGCTCCCTCAGGCTGTGACTGTAGACCCAGGTGGGGAAGTCCCCTGTGACCAGATGGTGGTCTTCTGGGAACAGGAGACACCTGGCCTCACTTTCAAGGACAAACAGGGGAGTGGGGCTTCCCCCAAAGGCTACGGATAGTGCCTGCCGGGGTTCTGAGTCTGGCTCTCTTCACTGCCAGGTGGTGGCGCTGACCCTGCTGACGGCCGACGGGACGGTTCTCCAGTGCTCTGAGGCCAGCAATGCAGACGTTTTCCAGGCTGCACGGGTGCACCTGGGCTGCCTTGGAGTCATCCTCACCGTCACCCTGCAGTGTGTGCCCCAGTTCCACTTGCAGGAGACCTCCTTCCCCTCAACCTTGAGAGAGGTACTGTCTCTTGTTCGCCACTGGTCAACCTCTGAAAATAAATGGAGGACATGAACAAGGGTCAAGCTCCACTGAGAGCCCCATGGTCTGCAGGCCCCCTGAATGGGGGAGTGCGCTGACCTCACCAGCCCTTCCTGGTCCTAGTATTCCTTTGTAAGTAGGTCAGTGGAGCTCAGAGGGACTGGATGATGGGGAGCAGAAAGGATAGCTTCTGACTGATAGAATGTTTTTGAATGAATGAAAACCCAAGCTGGTTAGCTGAATGAATGGATGGACAGACAGATGGATGGATGGATGCATGGATGGATGGATGGGTAGGTACAAGAATGGATGGATGATGGATGAATGGGTGAATACATGCATGGATGGATGATGGGTGACTGGATGGGTGGATGAATGGGTGCAAGGATGAATGATGGATGAATGAGTGAGATGGATGGATGAATGGCTGGCTGGCTGAAATGCCTGGCAAGCCTGGATCTATCCCTTGTAATCTCTAAGCTGTAAGACTCAAATCTATGGTTCCAAGCTCCTTGGCGTTGGAGTTCCTCCATAGCCACCTTACGACACTCAATACAAGATGGGGTTGGCATTGATGTGAGCACTGCTGATCCCACATGGTTATGGTGGGATTTGGGATCAAATCATCTGGCCTTGAATGCTGGCAGAACCACTTCCAAGCTGTGAACTTGAGCCAGTCACTTAACCTTGCCGAACGTCAGGGTCACAGCTGGGAACTCAGGGAGTAGTAGGCCTGGCGCCCTAGACGTGCACTCGCACTGCTCAGATTCAGAACCAGAACTGTCCATGGGGCCCATGCCACGAGGCAGGCCCTCGACTTAGGAGCTTCCACACAGATGATCTCACTTCATCTGCACTAGTGCTCACATGATAGTGATGGGAAACCCAAGGCTCAGGGGACACGGCTCCTCCTGGGTCATGCAGCCCCTAAGTTGCAGAACCAGGACTTGAATCCAGAACTTAACTCTGAGACCAGCGCTCCTCCTCCACCTGCCAGCTGCCTGTCAAACCGCTAATCTGCCTGTGCTTTGGCTCAGAACTTGTCCGGGATCAGTTGGATGGATGTCAGGGAGACGTGATTGGCTCTGTGATGTTATCTGCACGTGGGCAATGACAGCCGCATGAGAGCAGGATTCTCTTGTTCATTTTATTAAAGACCTTTGACGTGTCAGGCATTGCAGGGACAACAATGACAGTATAAAGGTAATAGTGGTATCAGCCGCTTACCCCTGTACAGGGCTTCCCATGCTCATGACCCCATATTGAGCACTTTCTAGGCATTCAGTGCATTTAATCTTCGTAACAGTCTTGACATAGGTACTGTTATTAACCCCATTTTACAGAGGGGTAAACTGAGGCACTTGCCCAAACTTATGTAGCTAGTAATTGTTCAAGTCAGGACAAAGAAGAAATTATTTTTTTCCACCAAGTTACTCAGGGAAGTCAGCATGTAAGTGGACTGTTTTAATGTCCAGCCTATTATAAGACACATTCCATGCTATTTGGCAGTGTTCGGACAATTTTAGGCATTTTATTTGTCTTTTGATGGGGAGAAACGGAGGCACCACAGGGCCCTGACCTCCAGGACCACCCCCTCACCCCCATTATCATCCTGGGACCAACACGGTGTCTCCTCCTTCCTCCTGCCGAGGGCAGGTCCTGGACAACCTGGACAGTCACCTGAAGAAATCCGAGTACTTCCGCTTCCTCTGGTTCCCGCACAGTGAAAACGTCAGCGTCATCTACCAGGACCACACCAACAAGGTAGCCGCGGGGCCCTTCCCCGTCCCCCCACTCCCTGCTCCCAGGGTGGTGACACCAGTTATCGTGTTGCTGGTCGGTGAGAGGTGAGAGGAAAAGCAAGCCCGAGCATCACTGAGCATCAGGAGAGAAGCCCAAAGGCCAGAGGGTGGGAGGAGGAAGGAAGGGGGGCCCAGTAAGGGTCCAGTGTGTTGTGGGACAGCCTGGATGTGGGGGAGGAAGCAGAGGACAGAGGAGTGGGCAGGACAGCAGAGGATGGAGTCCTAGCAGCTGGGCTGGACCTCAGAGGCCATCTGATACATCCCACCCTCCCTGCAGCACCCCCACCTTTTCCACCCCGAGCTGCGCAGGTGGAGAAACCCATAATTTTGTCTCCGCTGACCCGTGTCCTTAGTGAGCAGGCTGCTTCTCAGCGGAAGAAAACCAAGCCATCACTTAGGATGGATGTTGATCAGACAAGTCAAGCAAAGGCCATGACACCTACTGTGTGTCCCGGGGTAATGGCAGTGACTGCCGGACACCCGGCTTATGAATTCTAAAGAGGAGGGACATATGCACGTCTTTATCTTTGCAAAATACATACATGCAAAAGTACACACATAAGCATGAAACAAAAGGGGAGAGGGCACGGGAATCAGCTGCGCCGCCAAGAAGTGAGGCTTCGATCGTCCTGGAGGGTGGCTCGCCCCTCCCTGCTGACACACACAGCCACTCCCGGGACACATCTCCCTCTGAGGGGACACTCAGCTCTGGCCCTAAACTGATCCCAGATTCTGCTTCCCAGCCTCCCTCCTCTGCAGCCAGCTGGTTCTGGGATTATGCTATTGGATTCTATTTACTGGAGTTCCTGCTCTGGATCAGGTAGGAATGCACCTGTGTCTTTCCCCAGCGTCGGCCACGCCCTGCGGAGGACGTGCCCATCAGAACCACGGCTGACCATTACATGTGCACGCTGGGTCTGTCTCCTGGGTCCAGAGCAGTGGTTTTCCCCGCTGCCTGCACGGTCGAGTCACCTGGGAAGCTTTTTTTAAAAACAATACGAATGCCCAGGCCCCACTCCTTGGCTCACAGGTGATACACATCTCTGTGTTTCCCATTTCCCCTCCCCAGCCTCAAGTCTGGGCTCCTGCTCAGGCTCCATCCCTGCCACCAAACGTGTGACTCTGAGTGATGGGGAAGGTTTCTTGGGATCTCGATGGTGACTTTGTTTCCAGCCAAGCCATGGAGTGACATCATATAAAAATTTTGAACTATGTCTTATATACAAAACAATATAGGCAGCTTATATTTAAAGTATATAAAGAATAATGTAATAAGCACCATGTAGTTACCAGCCTTGTAAGAAATGAAACAAGTTCCACTGCAGTCCTCTTTGTAGACGCCCGCTCACAGCACCTGCCCCGAGACGTAAGCACCGTCCCAACTTCTATGCTTATCATTCTCTTGGTTTTATTTGTACTATAGTTTTCTGAGTTCTGAATTAAGAAATTTGATAATTCAGCTCTGACAGTGATATTTATCCATGTTGATATCGAGAGCTGTGATGAATCGTTTTCCACTGTGTGTGGTTACCACGATGGATACCTCCACGCTCTCGTCCGTGGAAATCTGGGTTGTTTCCAGGAATTTTTTTTTTTTCGCGTTACAAACAACATTGCTGTGAGCATTCTGGAGCATTGCTCTGGGTGTCCTGAGTATATATTCATGAGTGGGATTCCTGGGTCACCAAGTAGGAGCTTCTTTAGTTTAATCAGATCAAACTGTTCTCCTCAGTAGTTACACCAAGTTCACTGCCAACCACCATTAAGCTCCACAAGCTGGCTGAGATCGGAACTGTGAGGCTTTTCAATGTTTGTGTGATCGATAGTGTCTCATTATAGTTTTCAATTCTCGTTTCCCTGGTTATTAATAGGGTCACGCAGCTTTTCAGTTTACTGATCTGTCAGATTTCTCTTCTGTGAAGTGCCTGTTTATGTATTTTGCCCCTTTTAAAAATTGGTTTTTTTTCCCCCTTTTAAAACTGGCTTTTTTCTTAGTGTTTTGTAGGGGTTTTTTGTATGTATTTTGAGCACTAGTCCTTTGCTTGTTGTGTGTGTTGCATCGTCTTCTCCCTGTTGGTGTCTCGCCTTTCATTTCTATGGTGTTTTATGGTGTGGAGACGTATTTAATTTCATAGTCAGATGTGTCCGTCTAGTCTTTTATCTTTGGGACTTTGATGTCTTATTAAAGGCCATCACTCTATCAGATTATGGGTCGGGGGTGAGGATGGGAAATGCCCAGGCAGGCTTCTCTCCAGCTGCCATAATAGCAGCCCGGCAGCTTTGTGTGTGTGTCTGTGGAGTCTGAGCCCAGTGAGCATCCAAATACATTGGACCCTAAATCACAGCTGCCGCATCCCAGCCGAACGGATGCTCCGAGGGAGCCCCACGGTCGCTGAGCCCAGCCCACGGGGCTCCAGCTCAGGGGCTCCCGGAAACTGCATCCCTCATCCCAGCCTCATCCCTGCAGCTCTGGGCCACTTGCCCAGCAGTGAGCCCGAGGGTACAGGAATGAAAACTAAACCATGGGTTGGGTGACTGGTGACTTGATGGCTGCTTTGTGGTAAGACTCACTGTACCCCTGTGAGGGCAGGGACCCTGCCTGTCCTGTTACTCTCAACCTTCAGAGCCCCAAACAATGCCTGGCATGTAGAGGAGGCTCGTGGTATTGGTGTAAGAGGTGCTAAATGAAAAGCTTGGACATAGCCCTGGAGGTGTTCACCAGCAGTCGACTGCAGAGGTGATGGAGGTGGCCATGACTGAGCAGGACGGAGATCCCAGGATCCCTCAGGAGCAGAGCCCAGCGCCAGGCCCAAGCACACAGCCCTCCCTTTGCAATTCCTTGGGTAGCTCATTTCCAAAGACAAGAATCCATGAAGCGAGATCCCATGCTAGGACACTGCTCCCCACTGGCCACCTACAATGAGCTTTCCCAGGACGGCCAGGTGTGGAAGGAGGGTGAATGACCACACTCCTTATATAAATGTACCTGGAAGCCACCTGCTGAAATTAAAACTCTACCTGCCCTTGTCCCCCCAAAAGGATATAAGTACAAGGACATTTATAGTGTGGCATGCGGGGGATACAAAACTGCAAACAACAAGTACTGGTCAGGATGTAGAAAAACTGGATTACTGTGCACTGTGGGTGGAAAGGTAAAATTCTGCAGCCACTGTGGAGAACAGTATGGCGGTTTCTCAAAAAGTTAAGAATAGAATTTCCACATGACCCAGCAATTCCACTCCTGAGTCTATAAAAGAAAGAATTGAAAGCACGGTTTCAAAGAGATATTTGCACACTCGTGTTCACAGCAGCCTTATTTACAACAGCCAAAATGTAGAAGCCACCTAAGTGTCCAAAGGATGAATGGATAAGCACAGTGGAATTTATTCATACCATGGAATATTAGTCAGCCTTCAAAAGGAAGGAGATTCTGACACAAGCTACAATGTAGACGAATTTTAAAAACTCTGTGCTAAGTGAAATAAGCCAGACGCATAAAAAGACAAATATTGTGTGATTCCACTTACACGAGGTTCCTCAAGGACTCAAATCCATAGAGACAGAAAGTAGAATGGTGCTTGCCAGAGGCTGGAGGTAGGGCAAAGTGGGGAATTGTTGTTCAGTGGGGACAGAGTTTCATTTTTGCAAGATTCTGGAGAGCCACTGCACAATGATGTGAATATGTTTAACACTACCAAGCTGTACTTAAAAATGGTTAAGATGGTAATTTTTATGTTACATGGAGTTTTTAAGATCACAATTACGAAGACGATCCAGACACTGAAAACAGCCCGGCCATTAAAGGCGGAGAGTGGGATGGGATGTGGGGTAAAATCCATCAGCGGGCCGCCGCGCCTCTGCGGAGAGCCGTTCAGGGCGCGGCTCGATTCTGCGAGGGACTCCCCAGCCGTGGGTGCGCGTCCACGGCCAAGCACGTAGGGAATGAGGCCCCGGTTTGCAAAGGGCTCAGCCCAGCACCTGGCCGCCCTCCCTCACTGCTGGGTGACAGCCCCTCTGCCCTGCCCTCCAGCACCTTCCTGCCGGGCCTCGTGGGCTGGATCAATCGCTTTTTCTTCTGGCTCCTGTTCACCGGGAAGAGGGAGAGCTGCAACCTGAGCCACCAGATCTTCACCTACGAGTGCCGCTTCAAGCAGCACGTCCAGGACTGGGCCATCCCCAGGTAGGTGCCAGGCCAGCGGCCACTGGCAGCGGGGTCGGGGCCGAGACAGCCCCTTGGCGCTCCCCGCAGCCCTGGAAGGCAGCCGGCCAACCAGACTCCCCGTCCTGCCCAGTAGTCGTGGGGGGCAAACTGGAGGCTCAGAATCCCCATCCACTGCCCCTGCACCACTGTGCCTCTGCCCACAGCCGGGGTGACCGGCTGTGGGATCCCCTCCCCTCTCCAGCCGTGAGGCCAGGCAATGGCAGGCTTGGGCTTGGAGTGTGGCGCTTCCTGGCCGCTTCTGGTTTTCCTGAAAGACAGTCCTGTGCGTTCAGTCCCTTGGGCGGCAGAGCCCACAGGGCAGCCTGGGGGCCAGAACTCCGAGGTAGTAGGGACCCGGAAAGACCGAGGCTAGGTCTGCCGCCCGGCTCACTGCAGCTTTCTCTCTGAACTGCCACTCCTCGTCTTTGTCCCTCTCCAGGAAAAAGGGGGGATGGTGGCCACGCCTTAAGGGATGCCTCTGGTACTGTGTCCAGGGGCTGCAGCCACCAGACTCTCTGGGCAGGACTATTAGACAAAGTAGAAATCTTGGAATCAGAGTGACTTGACTCTCTCTGAAGAAGAGGAGGCAGGCTGTGGGACAGCCGTGGCCCGACACCTGAAGGAGGCCCCTGATTTGGTGGGGGCCCTGGGGGTTGAACTGGGACCAGGCAGTAAATCTCTACTTCCATGAGGAGGGCTTGGAGAGCAGCACAAGGGGAGCCCCGAGGCCGCCTCTGCTGAGGGGTCATGCAGAGCCTCAGGGGATGGCTCCCAGACGCCCCATCCTGAAGTCTGGTTCCACCCCCCTGGGCTGGGTGCAGAGAGAAGACCAAGGAGGCCCTGCTGGAGCTGAAGGCCATGCTGGAGGCGCACCCCAAGGTGGTGGCCCACTACCCCGTGGAGGTGCGCTTTGCGCGGGGGGACAACATCCTGCTGAGCCCCTGCTTCCAGAGAGAGAGCTGCTACATGAACATCATCATGTACAGGTGACTGGCTTGCAGGGAGGGCCAGTGGGGCGAGCCAGCCCCTCCAAGTCCAAAGGCCCCCCATCCTCCCCATCTTTCAAGGCCGGTTCAAATACCACCTCCTCCAGGGAGACCTCCCTGATCCCAGCAGCAGAAAAGAGTCTCTCTCTCTCCTTGGAGTTCCTATAACTACCATTTCTAGTCCACATTCTGTTAATACACTAATTAATATTAATTAATGAGTCATGTTAATTTGCATAGCCACCATATGTGAAGCTGACATTATGGGATGACAAACTTATGCTACCTGAAGTGCCCACCCTAGTCAATGATTCCGAGAGCCTGGAATGCTGTGTTGAGAAGGACTATGAGGACGGGTTTAAGTCCAGTAGAAAAGAGATTGAATCACGCTTGATGTGACACTTCTATGTGGGTGCACCTGCCCATTCTGAGCAGGCCACCAGGCCCGGTGCTTGCCTGCCACTCATGACAGCGTTTTCTTTTCCCTAGTTACGTATGCAGCAGGCTCCAGTCTAAAACTTACAGACATACGGAGTTTAAGAACCTCATCTTTTCTAAAACTTCCTGCTTAAGATGCATCTTCCTTCTTTCCTGTCCCTCACTGATCACAGCCCTCCTCTGACTTTGCAGAAGAACAAGATACCTCTTGATCAGCCTGACTTTTCTCCAGCTAGTAAAAACTACCAAGTTTAGAGGCTCTCAAGGGACGCTTCAAGAATGTACTAAAGCACATACTGAATGGGAGGCAGCTTCTTAAACGTAGGGACAAACTTGTGGCAAGGCTCAGTCCTCATCTCTCTGTCTGTCTGTCTGCCTGTTCATCTTCTCTCTACCTGGGAATGAAAATTCTGAACTGGGAAAGGTGCCATGGGGCTGCATCAGAACATTGGGATTTTTAAAAGTTCTGACTTAGGCTTTTTCTCTCAGTCAGTCTGACTCCACAGCAAGGACAGACCAACTAGGTTACATGGTCATGGTTTCAACCATAGAATGAAGTGATTCTGATATAAATATTTATATATTTATTTCTTAACGATAAGTATGTGTGCATATATAGCTTCAAAATAATTTTACATTGAAATTTTTAGTTTGCATCTTAAAATACTTAGATTTAAAATTCAAATCTTTATACTAAATGAGTATATATATGTATATATATATACACACACACACATATATATATCTCCACACAAATCTTTGAAATTATTTAAATTCGTGATAGCTCTCAGTTGCCAGTTAAAAAATATGCAAGAGGATGCAAGCTTTTTCCAAATCTTTCCGAGCAAAGACCCCCAAGGTGCTGGGTCACTCTGGTCCGTGTCTCGTGGGCAGCGCCACTCAAGTCCTGGTCTCCGCGTCACAGACCAAGTGCGGGGCGCCGCATGGACCCGGTGCCTGATGACGGCAGGTGGGCGGCACAGGGCGCAGACAGGCCTCACCCCCTTCTGCCCCTTCTCCAGGCCCTACGGCAAGGACGTGCCGCGGCTGGACTACTGGCTGGCTTATGAGACCATCATGAAGAAGGTGGGGGGCAGACCCCACTGGGCCAAGGTAGGATTTGCGGGTCAGAGCCTCACCCGGGGTGTCAGCTGGGCAGCTGCTGGGGCTTCCACGAGAGGGCGCCGCTCTCCCCCTGTTTCCGTGCCTGCCCCAGGCTCAGGTGTCGGAAACGCGGGCTGAGCACAGCCCGGGAAGGAGGGCTTCAACCAGCCTGCCCAGACCCAGCTCCCCTCTGCATTCATGTTCCAGCAGCCCGGTGATTGTCATTCCCTCGGCGTTTTCAGAGAAAGTCCTCATCTTTCATTTCATTTTTGATTCTCACAGAGACTCTCAAGCAGGATAAGGCAGTGGTCCATTTAACAGACAGGACACTGGGAGGTGACGGAACTTGGGACTTACAATTAGCAGAATTACCAGAACCCTCTCCACTGGCACACTGTCCGGTGGCAAAGGGAATAGGGGGCTTAATGCTGCATTTTAACAACTTCCTTCTTTACTTTCCAAGAACTTCCTCCTCCTCCTGTTTGGGTCTCTGCATTACAGGTGAATGCATGCATGTCTGTGCGTGTGTGCGTGTACACACACGGGTGTGGGTACACGCATGTGTGTGCATGCGTGCATGTGTAGGTGTGAGCATGTGCGTGCATGCCTGTGCTGTGTGTGTGTGCCTGGGGGTAGCAGTGTCCCAGATGGGGGCACACTGACTCGAGTGCATGCTTGCAGCCCCACTGAAATGCCAGCACCGGGGAACAAAGCCTGTTGTATCTGGTTGCTTCCCCAGGCCCACAACTGCACCCGGAAGGACTTCGAGAAAATGTACCCTGCCTTTCCGAAGTTCTGTGCCATCCGAGAAAAGCTGGACCCCACTGGGATGTTCCTGAACGCATATCTGGAGAAGGTGTTCTACTGAAGCAGAAACAGAAAACAAGTCGAGCTCACCCCATCCGCTCCCCCAGGGCCACCTCCGATGAGGCTGGAGGCTCAGTGTCCCAGTGGCCTCATAGGGGAACAGACCTCTCCCCCAGCCACCCTCAGCCACAGCGCCCGCAGCTGCTCCGACCCTCAGCAGTGAGCCTGGGCACCCCCCTGACGTCCTTCGTCCCCACAGAAAGGGAGAGGGCCAAGTCTGCCTTTACATCTTTAGCCACACCTTTTTCGCCCAAGCCTACAATCACATTCTGTTTTCCCAAGAGACAGAGAAACCCGCAAATGTTCCCTTTGGCCAGGCGGTCAGGACTCAGCCATCCAAAGGTTTCACCTGCCCGCAGAGTGTCTGGAGCTCCAGGGGTCGTAGGGAGGGGCGCCACCTGCATGTGTTTGGGCACCGAGGTCGTGTGTGCTGTGCTCTGCTTTCTTTCACTCGTGAGGGTCTTTCAGATGCTCAGATGACTGCCCCCTGCCCAGGGACTGCCCCCTCCCAGAGGGCATCTGACGTCCCGAAGCCCGACCGGCAGCGAGTCTCTTCCAGAGGATATTTGGGGCGTGGGACTCTCCTTGCTTTGTTTTTAATAAAGGTGAAGAATTGATTGATCCTCTGCTCCCTCCTCTTCATCCCCGAGGTAATCCTTTGGGAGCAGGAGGCTCCCTGACTCCCCAGCTTTCCTCCGGAGGTTATGGGTCTTGGACTTGCTGGAAAATGGTCTTCCTATTTCTTTTGCAAACTTAGTTTCAATTTGCCTCTGACCTCCCACACTTTGCAGCTACTCTTTCATGGAGCTTTTGATGAACATCTTCTAGGTGCCAAGTGCTTTGGGAGAATTGCAAGAACCTTAGGACAGGTTCTTGGCATCCGTCAAGAAATGTTTCAGCCAGAGTATGTCTTGAAGCCCTATATTTTTGCGAGCTTGAATTTAGTCTTTTAAAACTATAAATTTTGCATTCTATCCCACTATGTAATTATGTGTTAAACTTTCGAATGATGTTTTCTTTTGCAAATCTCTAAATGACACCTCTGCTCCAGGAAGGCGTGCCCTGTCTGTTCCGTGGTCTGCTGGCGCCTCCCACACATCTACCCTGGGAGAGAAGTATAAACAAGGAACACACAGTGCAATGGCCTGTGTCCAAAACCTTAAGATTCAGTAAAACTTCAACTTTTTGGAATGCTGGGGCAAAAGAATGTTCTAGAAATCGGTTTTTCTGATTACCAGAGAAACTGGGTGCCCTTTCTTCATTTGATTTGGGATCTCTTGATGCCTGAAGGTCATCCTTCCCCCCAAGTTCTCATTGCAGAGTCCTTTTGATACCAAGTGTGTACCAAGGCCATAAATTGGGCTCCTGAAAGCATCGCGGATCCAGATCTACTTTTTCTCTCCTCTCTCGCCTCCTCCTGGCCACTGCTGGACCAGGTTCCCCTGGTTTTTCTTCTCTCCCAGCCCTGCCCTCAGGTCCAAGCCTCAGGTAGTGGAAGCCCCAGTGGCAAACACTCTCCTCATCTCAGAGTACTTGGAAACCTGAGTGTGCTGAGTGTTGGGGCCTGTACCATTAACAGCAGACAGGGATTGCCAGCAGCATCTGAGCAATAGGATGGAAGGATGAAGAATGGGTCCCCGCAGGCCAGTGTGAAAGTAAATCATAGTACAGCATCGGAGCTGCTAGATGAGTGACTCTCAAAGTTGAATTCTCGGGTAAGAGTCACCTGCCGAAAGGAAACCTGCGAATCTCACCAAGTGGAGTGCGTGGACTGCGGGCAGCTCTCCGCTCAGGGAAGCCGCCTGGCGCCTGCGTCCCGCAGGTGCACAGCTGAGGTTGGGCGGGGTCCGGGTGAGCTCTGAGGGGCCCAGAAGGATGCACGACCACTCAGAAAGCCCCCCAAGGTGCAAAGATGTGGGGCATTTAAAAGCTCAAGGCAGATGCCCCTCTACTTCACTTGCAGGTGTCTCCGCATGGGGATAACCCCAAATCAGCCAAGTCAACGTGGCCACCTGCACGGGCCAGGCCCTGAGGAGGTGAGGGGAGGTGGGTGGGTCAGCTGACTTGCGGAGGGGTCGGCGCAGCCCAGCATCAGTGGAGCCACAGCCCAGCTCTGCTCCTTCTCTCAAGGTCAGTCCGCCGGGAACAGGGGTTCACCGCGCCCTCTGGCGGCAGCTGTCGGGACCCAGCGAGGTACTTGCGGAGGAGGAACAGCCTCAACGCCGGGGGCTGACTAGTCCCAAACTGTGAAGTGGCCAGGAAGGCCCCAGAGAAGGGAGCAAACCCTGAGGGGCGCCCTGGCGGAGGGGCAACCGAGAGGGAAGAGTCCTCTCCGCAAAGCAGGTTTCAAATTCATAAGGATGCCTCTGGGTCCCCTTCTTTCTTAGGCAAGGAAGCGCTTACCCGTAGGTCTCCACTCTGAACTGAAGCCACAGGCAAGGAGCTAGCGCGAGGATGGGAGAGCGGAAGCAGGAAAATAGCGACAAAAAGGGACTACGAAAAATAGTTCCTTGAAAAGTCCATGAACTGAAGGGGAAAGAACACAGGCAATCTCTGAATGCCCTTCTGAGGTCAAGAGAGGCCCAGACATTTCCAGAAAGCTCCCCAAAAGAGTGATCAAAAATTCAGCTTGTTTTCATTTTTGACAACCGCGCATGGATGCTTTCATACACACGGAGCAAGACAGGGCCGTGCTGGGCTCCAGGTGACGACAGGATATTGCTTTAAAGAGGCCCTTGTGCGCTCAGGGCAGGTGGCCTGGCGAGGCGGCGCAGGCTTGAATTTGGAGGATGAGCACCTTCCTTTGATGGCGTGGGTGCATCTCTGATTTTGTGACCGTACAGGACGTCCTTCATAGAGAGGACAAAAGTCTCTTTATGGCTGTGAGGCTGGAGCAAATGGTTTACCCGCCACCGCCGCCGCGGGGATGTGCCTGCTTGGCACGAAGGCTGGGTCAGGTGCTAGTTTTTATTGACTTGGGCGTCGGACGGACTGGGGGTCAAGAGAAGGTTGCAGGAGAACAACGGGTACCAGTTGAAGGTCACCGTCTTTGTTCCCCCGGTTGCTGGAGGCAACAAATGAGGGCAGGCAGGAAATGTGACCTCTCTCCATCACCTTTCCCAGCCCAAGTGAGTCCCCCTCCCCAGCGTGAGAGTGGACTTGAGCCAGCTGAAGGCAACTGTTGATGGTGAGTGAGTGAGACCCCAGAGCTTAGGGGCGGGGCGGGAGGAGCTGGACAGACTGCCGTCACCCACCGCCCACCCCACACTGAGCAACGTCACCATCTAGCAGGATTCTGCCCCAGCGGTGGAGATATCTCAGAGGCAAACAAAGGGTTCATTATTAACCAGGTAAATGTGTTCCACGTGGCCCAGCATTTCCTGCTATCGTGTTGACTGATTTAGTAATCCGCAATGCTGTTAATAAACTCTGTAGATCCGAGTTTTTCTCCAGTTGTCTCTAGAACTATTTAATATTTCCTAGGTTTGCCAAGCTATTCTGACACAGGTAGAAGACACCAGGCAAAGGCTGGGTCTGGAGAGGGTACTGGGGTGGGAGCCTGGGCAGCTAAAAGTGGCAGCCAGGGACCCACAGACCCTGGGATGAGACCAGGGTCTGACCCCCAACTCTGCCTGACTGCAGATAAATGGCCCTTATTATTATTTCTACACCCTAACTTGCATTTACCTCTCTCCTGTACGCTTCCTGTGGGAACCTCAAGCTTAACTCATGTAACTCCTGGAATCCGTTTATGTGGAGTTTCAATTCGTTTGGAGGCAAAAGCATGAAACAGTTTTATTCATTCTGGACACTCTTCTCAGCACTTGATAACAGCCCAACCAGATGGTTTTACTTCCTGAAAAGGTCACGGTTAATAAAACGATCAGTTTACTTTGGAATGTCACCCTCCTATCCAAAGCAAGACCCTTCCTCTCGCCCATCAAGGGAGAAGGGGTGAGGAGGTGAGGGGCACACAGGCTGCCCCCTCATCCTCCTCCCATTCGGAGAACAAAGATCAGAGTAGGGAGGGCCGTGGTCCCGAGCTGGACCCCCTGGTCCTCCTCTCCCCTGATCAAGTTTCTCTGAGGTTATGTGACGTGGGCAGCGTCTTGCTCGATCTGTTGAACTGGACACTGGCTACTGCTAGACAAGTGGATGGTGTTCTTGGGCCGGCCGTGAATTGGCTCGGGCACCTGTGTCCACCCTCGTCTAGGCCTCCAGCCCCCTTCGGGTGGGACAAAGTTACTGCTACGCGGTGAGCACTTTCCTTCAGTCCTGGCAGTGTGACTCCATGACCATGTAACCCTCGGGGGATGCTGCCAGAAGCCACACTGGAGGCCCTGGGAGAGTGAAGCCCAAGCTGAATGCCTCCTACCCCCACCCCCAGCACTCGGTGGTGATGGCACACTGCTGGGCGGCTTCCTGGCTCCAACACCTCCCCTAGTCCCTGCCACTTCCCAGTGTAGGATCCCCAGACCAGGGGCCCCTTGATTAGCCTCTGTGGGCCACAGGGTACTGGGGTTGAGTCTTCTCCCCTCTAGGCCTTCCCAGTCACACATCTCTAATGAGGGCCACTCCTGGGAGCCTTTGTTCTTTGGGGGGCAATAGCCTTGCCTTGAGGGAAATTGTGGGGACCTGATAGGAGGACACAAAGCAATTGACCGGGTGTTAGAGCACTGCAGTTGGTCCAGGGCTGCTGGTTACCGTTACCCAAGCTGCACACTGCACAACTCTGGTGTCATTTCACCTCGCAGTCATCAGAGATGCTATCCAATTACAATTTTCTGGCAGAGGGCCGTCAAGTATCAACAGAGAAGCTAACGGGGGGTTGGTGCCACACCCCCTTGCCAGGCAGCAGACCCCAAGCCCTTTCTTCTCAGAACATCAGGCCCTGCTCCTGCCCTGCCACCAGCTTCCTAGAAGCCAGAAACTGAGGGCTCGTTATCCACAGTCCCCCAGCCAGGGTGACCAACATCTCATCCTTGCACCTTGGTGACCTCCTGTCCTGACTCAAATTTTCTAGGGCCTAAGGCTGGAACTTCTGTCAGGGAGGGAAGGACCTCCAAGGACCCTCAAACCAGGCGACTGTGCAAAGTGGGAAAAAGGATGGCGAGAAGGGGTCCCAGGGAAACTCAGGGTCAGCTGGAGGCTCAGTCTTTCAAGGGGCTCGTCTGGGAGGGTTTAAAGGAAGTTGCATAAAAAGAAGCAACAACTGGTTAGACTGACTCCCAGCATCATCATGGGACACAGAAGACAACTTTTGAAACATAATGTGTGATATGAATGTAATATATAATTTAAAATTGTGGTCATTGTAGCAAATGCCTTCTGAACGTGTAACCCTACTTAATGTATACCTTTACATGAGTCATACTAACTTGACTCTGAATTCCCTTGGCAGCAATACTAAGGTGTTAGCGTCTGTGGACAGAAGCTAAACCCTGGGGTTTATGGCTTGTGTGGCAAAGGTGCTTACAACTTAGAAGGAGAGACAAGGAATGGTAAGCTAAGAATATTCCGAGCTTTTAATTTACATATGGACTCTGCTACAAATGTGGGATGCATCCAGATGGTCTTTACTTCCATTTGAAGTACATTGGATGAACAAAATTCTGTAGAGAATATTCAAAACAGGAAGGCTTCATAATTTAATGTTAAAATAAGGAGCACGGTTAGTCAGGTCCACCTGCTGGCGGAATTGGGTGCTGCAGGCCAGTTATATTTTGGACTGAGGGGTGAGTCGTCATCAAGAAAAAAGCCAGGCAGAGGGGAAATTCCTGGGGTCGAGGGAAAGATAGCAATGTTGTGTAGACTGACAGTGGGCAAACAATGCCACCTTCAGGAAGGTGCCACAGGGATTCCACGCTCTTTTTTGAAAAAGAAAAGTTCCTCATTTTGTGTTTGGGGGACATTTTCCATAAGAGAACTATCAATTACGTGTTAAAGTAACTGGTGTACCTTATTTTTACTATTTCTTCACCCTGATTTTCAGTGTATTCCCTTAGGAGGTCACTCCCACCCCAGTCAGAAGAGGTATCTGCTTTATAATGAAATGGAAAAGATTCGCTTTTCAGAAACGGATTTTAATTGGCTTTTGGGACACATCACTCTTCCTAAAAGCAAGAAACCCTAGAACTGGGTCGGCTTCATCATCCCGCTCCTTCTGTTCTCAACCATATGATGCTCTCTGTACCATCTGAGCCATTGCTTTTTCTTTTCTCCTTCTTTTGTTTTTCCATATCAAAAATGAAAGTGTGTGGAAGGTTAAAAAAAAACAAGCATAAAGAGGACACACCAGAACATTCAGATTACAAGGCGGTTTATTGAGTTAATGGCATGCAGGGAAGCTCTTCCCATGATCAGCGAATGCAGGCATTAGAGTGTGGAGTCCAGAGGGAGGAGAGTCTGGGGCCAGGGGTGGGGATGGGGTGGGGGAGTCAGGAGGGCCTCTAGCCCGGGGCCTGGTCACATGGTGATGTGCAGCGATCTCTCTAGGGGCCTGTGGCTCATCTCGGGGGCAGCGGGACTCAGATGCCCCCATATGTAGAAAAGCAGCGTTCACATCTCACTCTTCCCTGAAGAAAAAGGGTTGAGGAGGGGATAGTCACTGAGAAGTAGCAGCAAACACTCCCATTCTTATCAACCCAGAAAGAACATTGTCCAAAAGAAAAAGAAAATTCCCAGACGTGCTGGCTTCCCGCTGGGCTCAGGCTGCTAGAGCCGGGACTCGCCCTTTTTTCCGGCCCCCTCCAGGGACCTGCTGGGCCGGGAGGGGCCGCCAGCGAGGCCCGCACACTCACCGGTGCTTTTGGCGATATTTCTGCAGTGCTTTCTCCACCACGGTCTCCATGAACTTAGGATTGGAGACTTCTTCCGGAACCGTCACAGTGATGGGCTGGGAATCAAACAGATTCACAACCACCTTGGTGAGGCCGGAGGGAACGCTGGGGTCGGAGTTGTGGGAGCTCACCTAGAAGGAGAGGAGGCAGGAGAGGGGCGGAAACCGTGGTCAGCGCAGACTCATTTGGCAGCTCAAATCAGGCTTACTTCTGAGCAGCTGACCCCTTTGCTTTTTACTAATCTCGACGTCTGTACCACTCTGCGAACAGAAATGCCCTAATTCAGAGACACGTGTTTGTGGGTGTGAATTCCATCTGTGAATGACCAGCCCCGGGGGAGCCCCCACTGAGTAAAACGTGGTTTCCAAGCCACCATGTCTCCTTTGGGCAGCCACTGGGCAGGCAGTGGTAGGAGACGAATCCAGGGAAGGGAAAAAAAAGTTCCCCGCACTAGAGAGAAGCTTCTCATCCTGGGGAGAGAACAGTGGGCCAGTTCATGAGCCATCTGCAACGTGGGGTGGGGCAGCAAGAAGCTCTGTGAAAAGGGCCCTGGCCCCGCAGCCAGGCGGTCAGGGGCAGAGACCCAGGTGATCACCCCTCGGTTATCTGACCTCAGTTTCCTCACCTGGAAAATGGGATCATGAGGCTTCCATGCACCACTGTACCTGAAGGTTTTGTTTTCTGCCATTCAATATATGCTTAGCCAAAACCAGAAGTGGTCCCCTTTGGCATCTTCATCCCATTTTACCCACAGGGAAGGAACACGTCACCGCTAGACCACACCTAGGGCCCAACTTCTGTGTGCGGTCAGGACAGACTCACCGTAGTGACCTGGAAATACTGCTGGCCTTCGCCCTGCGTGAGGTTGGCCAGCCGGGACACCCAGCTGAACTGCTCGTTCAGCTGTGCCAGCAGAGAGGACGTGTTGAGCATCTTCTGCTGATAGGACTGCAGCAGCTGGTCGTACAGCTTGCTGAACTTCTCGGCCAGCTGGAGGGACGTGTTCAGCTCCTGGCGCAGCTGCATCTGAGCAGGGTTGTTGGTTGAACAGTCTGCCCAGAGATGGAAAAAATAACAAAACAGAACAGTAGAAATGTGAAGAGAGGGCTAAAAAAGGATGAAAACACTAACGGCCACCAGTTCGCACAGCCGGGACCTCAGGAAGGGCTACTCTAAGTGACCGCTGTCAGGACGAAATCGGGAGCTCGCCCAGGAATGTAAGTCAGCCCGTGCTTCCTTCATCCAGAAGGTCCGGTCCTGGTAGACGCTGTCAGTGAGAATAAACAGTGTCTTAGTGACATCACTGATTCTTCTTTGGGTGCATTTTTCTCTCCTTAATTTTTTAGAAGTATCACGAGGAGAGCGCATCAAACCCAAGCAAGTCAGGGGGAAGGAGGAAGTCTTTGTACACTTCACAGTGGCGGCTGCAATCATTTCTATTCAAATAAAAGAAAATGTCAGGTGGGGCAAGACACAGAATTACTAACAGGAAGCCTGGCTGAAAAAAATATGTAATGAATAACCTTAATTCTTCTTACCAGGGAATCATTGAAAACTCAGGACAGTCACTGAGAACCTAGTCTGGAACAGTGGCTCTCGCCTGGGGCAGTGTCACCCAGGGGTATTTGATAAGGTCTGAAAACATTTTTGGTTGTCACAACAGGGGTGGGGGGTGGCTACTGGCATCCAGCGGATAGGGGCCAGGGATGCTGTTAAGCACCTTCCAGCGCACAGGGCTGCCCCCACGGCAAGGAATGATCTGGTCCAAAATGTCTGGAGGTCCCAGCAGCTCACACTCACATGCTTGCAAGCACCTTAGAGAAGAGGTCTTAAATCTTCCTCAATGAAGAACAGAAAACAGCTGTTTCAGGAACCCGTGACTGGTGATCGCTAAGCTCAGTGCCAGGGGCACCGATCTGAGTCTGGGCACCTGCACGTCTAACGTGGCTTCTGACTGTGAGGTGCCGTGAAATCGATGCTCTTCCAGCCCTGCTGTTTTACGAGGTGAGCACATCAGCCTCTTACCGCACTTGTATTCGTTCTGCAGCGGCTTCTGGAGTCACAGGAAAGAGGCTAGGAATATTTAACTAGGTTCTGAAGGCCTAGCCCGGAAGGGTTAAGGAAGAGCAAAGCCACAAGATCGATCCACTACGTGCAAGGGAAACAGTTAACTCTTTCTGCGCATAGATGATTGTGAGCCGGGAAGGGTTATCTCCAAGTAGGAAGAATTTAGCCCCTCTGATAAAACAGAAGCAGAAGGGAGGCATTTTCTTTGTTTCAGGGACCAACCAACCAAAGGGAGTGCTGTGTCATTGTTGGGAAACTAAGGTACCACGAGGCGAGACCCACGTGCTCAGGGGAGAGAACACAGCAGCCCTGGCTGAGAACGCATCCCAGACACCCTTGGGAAGGGGCGTCGTGTGATCCTGGGCGGGTGACTGAACCTTTCTCTGAGTTTCCTCCTCTGTAAGAGAGGGACCATAACTGTAGCCGCCTCGGTTATACTGGAGAAAAGAGTAAAGGTTTGTCAAGTGTTTAGAACGCTGTTTAGTAACAAACACATGGCCACAGTTTGTTGAACAGAATCGACGCTGTCTAGAATTTCAACTGCAGCCAAAAAAAATAAATAAATAAGCATTTCTACTAGGTTTGTGCCCCCCCACCCAGCCCACACGAACAGACTAACTGGGGGAAATCCAAGGATGACAGCTTTTTTGAGACTAACAGAGGCCCCACCTGCAGACAGCCCGCTGGCCACGCCGGAGGATGCGGTGGGCACTGTGTATTCTGCCTCCTGTCGCCGGGGCAACCCTGCATCTTAGCCCCCAGCCAGAGATGAGGGCCCAGGTGGAGCAAAGGACTTGCCCCAGGGCTGCAGCTGGAAGGCAGCAGAGCTGGCTTTCCAACTCCCATCCGTCTGACCGCACAAAGGCAGCCCCAGGGAGGTGCCGGGGCCCTGGGGACTCACCCACAGACAAGATCTCCCGGCACTTGTCGCACTGGTCCTTCATCCGCAGGCACCCCGTGGAGTTGTGGCGGATCTCCTTGCACACGGTGCGGTTAGCATTTTCTGGAAACACATGGAAGGGGGGGTTCATGCTGAGGGACCACTCGGAGCCACGCTGGGACTGGGCCACCCCCATCCCTCTGAGCCCTTCCTCACTACGGTTCGGCCCTCTGAGATGGTTCTGCGGGCAGAGCAGGTTGGAATCTGGTTATTTGCCCGCAGACACAAGGGCGTGCTCAGGGCTCCCTGCAGTGGGACCAGGAGGTAGTTCTCAGGGCTCCTGGAGCTGAGTGTGGCCTCCCTCCCACCCTCTCCACCTGGCGACACCTGTCCCGTCTCCACGCTCCCTTTGCTGTTTGTACTTCTCCTTGGCATCCTAGCCCCATTTTCCTCTGCATTCTGTCTGGCTCATTTCTCTCCCCCTGGCGGGTCGGGAGGACCCCTGGAGGTGGGCACACGGTCCTCATTAGAGCCTCCTTACAACACAGGGCTCCCTGCTTGTGGATATGCAGTAAACCCTTGTTCAGTTCCATACCCTCCTGTATTTCCAATCCATTTCCAGCCAAATCCCAGTGCTAGTCAGACTGAAGCATTTAAGAGATGGGGTTGGCCAACAAGTGTCTATTGGTTCAATGAAAGAAATCACTTCTAAACATTTGGGCTTTTCGTGTCCGTGTCAGAGTTCATCCAGTCAAAAAAATATTCACTGTGTGCCCATCCTCTACCAGGCCCCTAAGGTTAGAGACACAAACAGCCTTCTTGACTGTAGCATGAGCTGGTTATGTAACTTGTTCCCAGTTTATCCACGGCGTGCACATAGAGCCCCTAAGTTCTCAGAGGGAGGGGTCTGGTTCTTGAGAGGGGGTACTGATGTCGTGCCCACCAGCTGCTGGAAGGAACTTGGTAAACTTGAAAGACCACAGGTTCCAAGTCCTGCAGGACTAGATTGCACTGGGTCCTAACTGTTCAGCTGTGAAACCCGGGACACCCTCCTTTACCACCCCGTCATGGTTTTCTCTCCATCAAATAGGGATGGTACCGCCCTCACAAGGTCGCTGGGGGGAAACTGAGATGGCATGCCAAAGCCTGGGCATGGTGCTCAGCATCTAACGGGTCAGCCTCTAAATAGGCTGTGAGGTCCCACCCCTCTTTCTAACCTCCTGGGAACTCCGCCGTCGGGAAGTGATAGGGCATGCTATGGAGGTGGACGTCCATGGCCTGTTGGGCCCGGTGTATCATGTCGAAGAAGGGCTGGAACATGTTGTGGAAGCTCAGGGGTTCGAACATGGGGAAAGGCATTAAGTTTCGGGCGAAGCGGGACTTGGGATTGAAGAAGAGCGATCTCCTCTGGGACGGGCCGAAGGGTGAGTAGAAGAAAGTGTCCTGGGGCCCCCGGCTGAAGAAGCGGTCCTGGAAGAGCTCGTCCATGATGCTGGACGCGCGGGCGAAGCTGTCCTGCATGACGTCCATCACGTGGCTCTGCTGCCGGTCGTTCTCCAGCAGGGAGTCAATGCGGTCCCCGTTGATCCAGAAGTAGAAAGGGGAGCTCTGGTTCAGGAACTCCTCGAGCTGCGACAGCAGATGGACAACCGTCAGGGGGAGCTCCCCGCCATCTCAGCCTCCAGCGCCTCTCCCTTGTCAAGATGGGCCAGGCCTGGCCCCTTACTGGCTGCACCCAGACCTGGGTCCACTCAGTGTCACAGCAGGTGGCGGGTGGAAGGCCCATCTGGGACTGGCTGCCCATTGCTGAACTGTTCGGGCCAATGCCCTTCCACCCACTGACCCCAGCAGGAAAGAGCTTAGGAAGGCCTGTGAGGCTAAGAGAGTCACGAGGCCCGTCACATGAGACTAGTCTGCTGTCCTCTTTGGCCACCAGTGACCCCCACCCCTGCTCCGCCAAGGGCCAACTCAAACGATTTTAGGGAAGGGCCTGCAGGGGAAGGTGGGATCGACATTAATGGACCAAACAGTCTTAATTCGTCTGGACACAGGGCACTGCCACACCATGGAGCCATTTGTTACGTTACGCAGCTCATAACTGCCGGAGGAGAGTCTCCTAAGGTGGCAATACCTGGCACGCATGCTCTTCATGACTCCACGTTACTGCGCTCAGGGCAGACATTAACAATTGATCGTGGCCCACATGCAGCCAGAACTAATTAATTGCATCCGTGATGCACAATGAAGCTATGATACTGTGATGTATAACAAGAAATATATATTTAGTCTTTGTCTGCTTGCAGACAAAGAGGTCCTAAAACCCCTGAAATTCCCTGTGACAAGAGCAATAAAGGTGTCTTTTGTTAGGCAAGTGACGTGACTCTGGGAAAGCACCTAAGGGTAGGGGCTGGCTGCCAGGGATGCCAACCAGGAGACTACAGGGTAGGACTTTTCAGCCCCAACCCCTGATTTCCAGGGAGGGGAGAGGGGAAGGAGGTCTGGTTAATGACCAATGACCAATGGCCAACGAGTTGAGCAATCACCCCTATGCAGTGAAGCCTCCGTAAAACCCCAAAGGACGGGCTTGGGGAGTTTGAGGTGGTGAACATACGAGCCAATGAGGAGCTAGAGAGGGCCGTGCAGGGAGGGGGCACGGAAACTCCCCTCTTTCCCCACCCCTTGCTCATGTGCATGTCTTCCATCTTCCATCTAGTTGTTCTTGAGTTATGCCCTTTTATAGCAAACTGATAAATCTAGTATGGAAAATGTTCCTCTGTGAGCTGCCATAGCAAAGTGATGTTGGACCCAAGGAGGATGTTTCTAGTAAGTTTTAAATGTTATAACAACTCAACGAGGAGGTTATGGGAGCCTCTAATCTATAGCCCGTTGGTCAGAAGTGCAGGTAACCACCCGGACTTGTGACTGGCGGCTGGAGTTGCGGGGCGGGTAGGACTTCTGGGGGACTGAGCCCTTCTTAGCCTGTGGGGTCTGATGCGGTCCCCAGGTAGACAGCGTTCTAATAGAGTTGAACTGGAGGACACTCAGCTGGTGTGGGAGAATCGCTTGGTGGGGGAACCCCCACCCTCGGATTTGGCTGCGGAATCAAAGAAGCCTGTATCCTTCGGGTCTCCTCACTCCGCACCCTGAGCCTTGGCTCCCCTGTTCACCTGCTGGCCCACCAGTCCCGAGCCGCTCCTGCAGACACGCGCGTAGAACTTCATGCAGGTCTGCTTCAGGCAGGGTTTGCACTCCTCCCACAGGGCCGTCATGGTCTCGTTGCACAGCCCCTCGGATGCCTTCAGCTTTGCTTCGGAATCCCTGGTCTCACTTAGGGCATCCTGCAGGAGGGCACAGGCGGGGTTAGCCACAGAAACCACAGGTTTCCCTTTCCCAAAGCTGGCAGTGGTGCCGGCCCCCACCGCCCAGCCAGGTCTTCTGGCCACACGGGGTGCTTTTTTCCAGCCCCCAGTTCTGGCTCGATGCAGCAGGAATAGGCGAGCTTCCGAAAGCGAAGTCACAAACTACTATTAACTAAAGCTCTCTAACATGACCGTGACATTTGGCACAATATGTCTACAAGAAGCTATCCCAAGGAATTCTTGCAGTAAAGGAAAAATCCATATGCCTGAAGAGATTTGTTACAATATCTGTTTATGGCAAAAA